TTGGGCCTGTGGCCGAGTGCGGTGGGCGGGAGGGGCTCCATGCTCTGTCTGGAGGGCGGGTGGGAGGGCTCGGCAAAGCTGCCGGCGCCGCCCATCATGAAGGTGCGGGAGAGCTTCATGGCCTGCTTGCGGAAGGTGGAGTACTGCTGCACCTGCTCCTCCTTCAACCGGTGGTGCTCCTCCTCCACATGCACCTTGCTCGTCAACCGATCCAACATGGTGATGAGCTACAGGGAATGGCGGAGGGGCGCAAGAGGCGTTTCATGCGAGCTTGGGGGCGATTGGGGGCCAGTCTCGCAGTAAAGTGAGAGATCCAAAGGCTCTTGCTGTAGATCTGCCGTGACTTCGACAGATCAAGTGTTTCGTGTCGAATTGCGCCTTGTCTGCCCGCCGAAGGAGCCGCACATTGTCGCAGAAAGGGAGATCTGAAGTGCCCGGTGCGAAGGAGGGGCACGAGAACGTACTCGTGTTGATACGCATCTCCTCTCCATGTCTGTGATGCTCTCAGGTTGTTGCGATTGCCCACATGAAGCCAACGAAAGGTATCCATAGATCTCCATCTTATCGCGGACCACAGCCAGACACCCAGCAGTGCACGCGAGTCACACAGTCCATTGTTTGCTCCTCTTTCAGACACCCGCACGAGGGAGCCATCGTCGCCCCTCCTGGCCGCCCAGGCCACCGTGGCCCCATCGACGTCAGGGGCAGCATCCCCTGTCACAACCACACCAACATCGGCCGCTGCTGCGGCGGCGGCGGGAGAGGGCGGAGGGAGGGGGAGAGAGGGGAAGGGAGGGGTTGAGAGAGGACGGCGTTGCTGGTGCTGGGACCGGCTGATCGGGAGGGGCCGAGCGCGGGCCGGTGAGCGGCTGAGACGAAGGGAGAAAGGGAGGGAGAAAGGGAGGCCAGGAGGGAGGGAGGGAGGGAGGGAAAATGGAACGTACCAATGCACATCCTGATATGAATTGTCAGAGTTTTTGAAGAAGTACAAGCTGGGCAAGAAGCTGGCCGAAGGCGGCTTAAGGCGGCTTCTCAAGAGTCTACGAGGCCAAGCTGAGGGACCCATCCGAGGGGAGAAGACAGAGAGGGTAAGGGGGCAATGAAGAGATGCAAAAGCAGACATGGCGTCGCGCACGGCTATTGACTGGCTGATTGGCTGATTGGCTGGCTCTGTCTGTGTGTGCGTTTGTGGGCACTTGGCTGTGTTTGCAGGTTGTGAAGGTGGTCAAGATCAACAAGAACGCCGAGAGTAGGAGGGAGAGGTGGGACACGAATTGCTGCCTCAAGTGAGCAGATAACAAGCACTACCCCTTAGCACACACACCGTTTCACTCCACCAGCTCTATCTGCATGAATGCAGGTTTCTCAAAGGCCGCCGGCACATCGTTTCGGCGATGACGCCTGAAGAGGTCGACGAGGAGCTCAAGCTGCTAGACCTCGCTCAGTACGGCCGCCGCAGGAAGGACATCAATGGCCACCCCAACATCGTCAAGGTCCACGACATCTACAGGGACAACTCATCGTGTTTCATCGGTGGAGAGAGGGAGACACATTGAAACAGTCGTTGTTTTGTCGTTCTGACTTGTTCTATTCAGTGATGGACCGATATGTTGCGGACTTGAGCGAGTTTGACGCCTCGAAAGTGTCTGAGGAGGAGTTGGCGGAGATGACGGCCGACATGGTGCACGCGGTGTACCACTTGCACAGGAACGACATCGTCCACCGGTAAGCCAGGTGGCTATGTCTGCTCCAATCGTTCTTTTATCAATGTCTCTATACGTCAGAGACATCAAAGTCGACAATTTTTTCGTCGCGTAAGACGGCCGTATCGTTTTGTCGGACTTCGGCATTGCCATGGAGACCGAATGCGAGGACTCTGGAATCCATAGCGACGAAGTGTAATAGGCATCTTCGCTGTGCTCACTCCTGCATCCTCTTTTTTTCTCTCGTGCAGCTTTGGTGTCGCCCGGTACCAGCCGCCCGAGGTGTGGAGGAACGACTATGGCAAAAAGCCCGACATGTGGAGCCTCGGTGAATGGCAATACTAGTCCATGCAGGCTACAAGACTGCTGCATGCAATCATGGGTGTAGGTGTCGTGCTCAAGATGGGCGACGGCCTGCTCCCGGTTAAAGGTGTGTCGGCAGTCGAAAGCACGACGTCTCTTACTCCTTTGTTGAATGCAGGCGGAAACGAGGAGGTGCTGCGCCGGGTCATTGAGAAGCGCATGTGCACGTTCAAGCGGCTGGAGCAGAAGACACCACTAGAGTTCGTTGACCTTGTGCAGAACTTGCTGGTTACAGGTTAGAAAGATCATCAAAACAGATGAAACGCACAGCGTCCTTTGTTTGCTCCTCTCCTTCAGACCCCAAGAGGCGCATATCTGCCGATGAGGCGCTGGAGCATGCCTTTATTCAGCACGTGCCGCCCCGACCTCGAGACGTGCGGCCACGGGCGCTGACAACAACATCAAGGGAGGAGGGCTTGGGAGGGGGGAGAGGGCGAGAGACACACAGCACTCCAGCTGCCGCAGGTGGGAAGCAACTTGACACTCTCTTTGTGTCTCCTTTCTGTCTCCTTCTCTGTCAAGCCGTTTCTGTCATGGCTTGTGTGTCAGGTTGGGTGTTTCTGACCGAAGACGATCACCACGAGGCTGCTGCTGCTGCAGCTGGAGAGACCGACGGGGATCAGGCGAGGTGCTGCGCGTGCTTTGGGTGCATTCGAGCGTGCGGCCGTCTTTTGAGGCGCCGTTTTGTGTGATACATGAACTAGGTCTGCAGTGGCATGTACCAAGTGACTCACCTTGCATAAGGACTCAGCTTGATACGAATTGTGGAAGCAGCCATATGTCCGTCTGACCTCCATCTATCCATCACAAAATGTAATTATACATGGCCCATCCAAGCTTGCAAGCTTAGGGATACATAGACGCCACATGTACAAACGAGTACATTCAAAAATGGACTGAACAGCACATGGCATGGACCCGCTTTGCGAGCCACACGTGTACGACCAACCTCAATTCATTCATACGTACGTATGAGTACGTCCTCATACAGGCACTCTGTGTGTGTGCAATGCCGCACCCTTGCAACTACGCTCAGCCGGCTCCAAAGAGTGCCAGCGCCCCTGCCAGTGCTGCCGTCGCTCCTGATGACTCCTCACTGCCGCCCGTGGCGTGGCGGATGGCGTGGCGTGAGATGTCCTCGTCGCCCCCCTCCATCTCCTCATCAGCCCCACCAGCCGCTGCTGCCGCCGATGGCTGCTCCTCCCAAGCTTGTGGTGCGTCCCTCTCGTAGCGCAACTTGTGGGCGCTGTCGATCAGCTGCTTGAGCGTCGAGATGCGCGACCAAAGCAGGGGCGACATCTCCTGCAGAAAGTATCATGTGGATGTGACAAATACAGAGGGCAAAAGAACAGCGCTTGCGTACTGCCTCTGCGAGGTCTGGCATGTCGGGTGCGTTGCTGAAGAGGGCGGTCGAGTCCATGTCCCGCTGGAGGCTGGAGAGGATTGACATGAAATCCTCCAGGCACGACCGAGCCCTGCAGCGACACTCTGAACACACACAAGACCCATACACTCCGGACAAACATTCCTGCCTCAGCTTTGCTCAGTTCATCCAGGGGGAAGGCAGATCGCATCTCGCTGTACACACCCATACCCTGAATGTCGGCCTGTGACGGGGGCAGTGCTGCGATCTCTCTCAGGCTGAGCGACTTCCTGATAGTGTCTCGTCCGGTGACGCTGAGCCCGCACGAGGCCCAGAGGTACAGCGAGGTCCCCTCTGGCAGCCGCGTTTCCTGCTCAGCCGCACCGGCCGCTGCTGCTGCTGCTGCTGCTGGCTGCTCGTCATATGCCGCTGAGCAAAGAAAGGGGGAAATTCAAAGCCGGCTCCCACGAGTGTGCTTGTGCTCACCTCCTCTTCTCGCGCCCATCCCAAACGCCACCTGGCGGCTCTTCTTGAGTAGCACCACAACGCACGAGAACAGCAGGTAGACGTACTGGCGACACAGCCCTTCCACCATCCCTTTGGCGCGGTCCATGTATCGTCGATCAAGCGCTCAAGCGCCTTGACGCCGTGCGATGGGAGTGGCGATGGAAGGGCGGGTGTCGACTCGGCGATGGGCACAAACTGCTGCATTCTCATCTCCCTGAGGTATCCCCCAAGCCGAGAGCCGTCGGGCGGCTGGCGGGGCATTCGCTGGTTGGGGGTGTCGTGGATGAAGATGGCTTTGAGGCGCAGATGATGGAGCATCCTGAAGTGCAAAATATAGCGGGATGCACGTGCATGAGCATGGCACATCTCTCTTGCCCACTCCATGAGTTGGCCGCCTCCGATCTTGAGGTATTTGATGGACTCCACCCATTGACTCTCGTTCGTCTGATAGAGACACATCCACATCAGGAACAGGGCCTCCACAAGTGAAGCAGCAGCGGTATCTGATGGGCTTACGGTGCTGATGCGTGAGGGTCTGGCGAAGTCCATGTCCATCATACCCAACCCTCCGCCAAATCCGTCTTTAGTCCCAGCGGCAGCATCGTCTTCGTCCTGCCTCTTCCCCGCCCCAAACGACGGCAGCGCCATAGGGCTTCCCCTCTGGCGTCTGCCTGCACCCCTTGGCGGCGATGCCAAGGGAGAGAAGGGCGAGGCGTCCTTGGATGCCCCCCAGGCCCCTCTGCGCCCTCTCTGATGTCCTGCTGGCGAGAATGCCGCCGCAGCGTCCATGGGCTCGTCCTTGATGTCACCCTGGTCGTTGTTGGGCGGCAGCTTGGTGGGGAATGGCGGCAGCACAAGGGTTCAAGACTCCGACGGTTGCGTCGGCCTGCTGCAGCGGTACCAGCCATGCGCTCATCTTCGATGTCGGCCTCTTCTTCCTCATCTTGCTCCTCATCCTTGATTGGCCCCAGGGCCCTCCGGCGTCTCTTGCTCTGCCCCTTGGGAACCGCCGCCCTCCTCCTCTTACTTGTGGCCACCTGCTCGGCCTCTTCGTGGGCGATTCTGGGCGGTGGGGGCTCGACCGTGCCGTCCAGGACTCCATTGATGTAGGCGTGCTCGTCGCAGTACGTATCCAGCACCTGAAGGCCTGAGGGCACTGATCCAAAAAGCAATCGTCGGAAAGATGGTTGAGTCACGGTCTTTGTAATGACTGTAGGTTCGTGCGTGGCGTACGCGTCTGTGTGGATGCCGTGTCGTCTGTGCGCATCAGCTTGAGCCACTGCACGGCGCCCAAGGCCCTGATGTTCTTGTTGGACGTGGCGTAGTGCTGCAAAAAGGACACACATACATTGCATCACACACTGCGCCACACACACGCCTCTTTGCTTGCAATACGCGATAGTCGCCGTCCTCATCGCCGTAGTCGTAGGGCTGCAGATATCGAAAAAACAGCAGGCGGAATCGATGTTTCGGCAGCTTCGCAGACACCGGCTCTCATACCTGGATGTTGGTGGGCGTGCAAATGGCGTACTGCCCCTCGGCGACGCTCCAGATGCAAACGTGGCCTTCTTTGACCCTGGCTCGGTCGCCGCGGAGCTCGGCGATGGCTCGCTCGTTCGTCAGGAACCCTGACCATGGATGCAGCAACCAGCCATGCATGTTTTCCCTTTTCTTGAGGTATTTACCGAGCTCGATCTCCATCTGCAGGTCCACACGCACTCCCAGCTGCCACGGGCCGTGGCCCCTCTTCCACCAAACAAAGGTGCCTACCGGGACTGAAACAGACAGAGAGATGGAAAAAAAAAATGATGGACATGACCGGCTCTTACGCTCCAGTCTCCCAGGCACAAGTGGATCTCGGCCAAGGTTGACGCTGCCAGCGACCGATGACGCCATACTCTCGTTTCAAAGTTGCACCTGGACCACACCAAGGACCACATGGGCGGATGGATGGACAGATGGAGAGATCTATGCTGTCTTTCTGGCATATCTGTTTGCTCGTACCGTGTGAGGTCTTGATCTGCCCCTGGGATCTGCCGGAACGTAGCTCAGAAGCAGGTCGAATAGCGTACACTTGGACTGAAGGGAGAATGGCCCCACTGGCACTGGCCGCCCCCCCATTTCTAGCTCGCAAGAGATTTAGCGATTTATTTCCTTAGCAAAGTATGGCCATCTTAACCTCTCAGCAACAGATGTCGAAGCAGCGAGGCAGTCACACGATGTCAGACCGTCTCCTCAGTGGTCGCCCCCGCGCGTGTTGCCTGTGTGTAGTGAGAGACTGGCTTGATCATTGGACCTTCAAGTGTGGTGTGGTTGCATGTTTCAACTGTCCCACTAGAAGTTAATGGATGATGGGTGTGAGGTTTCATATCACCGATTGGCACTCATCGTCGCACACACAGACAGAGAGAGACCGGCAGTAGATGGCCTGATGGCTTATCGACGCATCCACAAACCAACAGGGCCGTACACACACAGTCACACTCACTCAGACACACAGTCGCATACACAGCGACAAAAAACTCATGCAACGCATGAATGCATATCATCGCTATGAGCGTTAGTCGACCATTACGGTGGACCCTCTCCTGCCCATGCTGGTCTTGGGTGCCGTGAGTGCCAGCTGCATGTCCTGGGGCTCCTTCGCCTCCTCATCCTTTGTCGGCACCGGACCGCTGATGCCCACACCACGCCAAACATGCTCACCGTTGCCCCATAGCGCCTCCCACCTGCACACAGATAGACACACAGACGGACAGACAGCAGGACACATGTGCACGCGTGCTGCGCTGTGTGTGCGCGAGGGGTCAGTGGATTGCTCACATGGCCTGCAGGTCTTCGGCCTGGACGGTGGTGGCGACCTTTGGTGCGTCTCGAATGAATGCGGTGGTCTTGAGTGGGAGCTGTTGCAGCTGCAGGCCCGAGAGGTTGTCGAGCCAGTTGCGGGCATTCTGCATGTTCTGCTCGAACCGGTGGATGAACTGACGACGTGCATTCTCGACCTGGAACGACTGGATGCGACGCATGCCCCTGCATATGCCACACACAGCACCAAACAAGGTGATTGAAGGGTCTGTGTGTGTGTGTGTGTGTGTGTGTCGTGGGATGCGCACTTGAGTTCCTCGACTGATGCGTGCGCTTCCCTGAGGACGTGTTGGGCCATGGTGGGGTTGGTGTGCACCGTAACCATGTAGAAGCCCCCAGGCAGATACTCGTAGCTCATGAACTCGAACGACGCGTCATACGTCAGATGCTTCTCCTCTCTTAACTGACACCATACACACACACACACAGCAAGACACATGCAGGTCCTCCTCTCCCCATTTGTGTGGGTGGTGTGCTCACCGATGAGAACATGCGCTTGTTGATGATGTCCTGGAGCATCGACAGGGCCACTCTCGCGAAGGCCGGGTGGTCGCGGCGGGACGGCTTGTCGCTGCCGGGGCGCTGGATCAACAAAAGCAGATTGCCGCCTGGAACGGACCTCTTGGCACTGATAGATAGATGAAAGACATCCCATGCAGTGTGGTGTGTGGCGTGCGGTGTCTCTCTCTCTGTGTTCTGTGGCCCCTGTGTGTGGGGGCGGTGCCCATACATTTTGTCGTTGACGTGTGCGCCATCTGGAAGGAATCCCCATCGGTTGGGTCCAAAGCCCGCCAGATGCACCAGTGCCCTCTGGTCGCTGTCCAGCACGTGCACATCGACCTGACGCTTGTCCTTCGGCCTGAATGACCCACACATGCATTCACGAATGAATCGGTGTGAATGAATGGCCTTGTCGCCCTCTGTGTCTGGATGGGTCTCACTCACTGGTCGAAGTTGAATGGTATATTCCTGATGGGGTGTTGGCTGTCCTGTTGTGACGGCGGGACCGTGCCGAGGTAGGTGAGCGTCAGGCGCTCTATCTCGTCGATGGAAAAGTCACCCACCATGCTCACCTGCACTCACTCACTCACACACACACACACACACCACATGCACCAAGGCACATGGACACATCCGCCGTCTCCCGCCCTGTCGCCCACCTCAATGTTGTCCGTGGTGAGCTGTGACTTGATAGCCGCCTGTATCTGGGGCAGTGTCATCTTGCGTATCTCCTCTGGTGTGCTGTACTGCAACCGCCTGTCGTCAGACGCCATTCGCCGGATGAGGTCGCCAACCGACCTCGCCCCCAAGTCGCGGTGGTAGTGGTCGTACTCGGTGATGAAGTGCCCCTTGGCGCGAGCCAGCGCGTCGTCCTCGAACTTGAAGTCGGTCAGGATGGCGTGCAGGATCTGGAAGGCCGACTCGAGACCCGTCACACCGTCCTGGCCAAGAGAACAGGCGACAGAATGATCATGGTGGTCGTGGCTGTGTGCGTGCCGTGGGGGTACCTACCGGTGTGATAGCAGTGGTGGGCACGAGGAAGTCCATGGTGAGGAACTCGTCGGTGCACTCGATGAAGACCCCCACCAGGTTTTGGTTGCAGTACATCTCCACCTGCTCGCGAGTCAGGTTCCCAAACGCCCCGCCCTCCATCACCGTCCGCGCCCCCATCGATATGCCCCCAGCAATCACCCCGTTCTCAGGGATCTCGGCCATCTTGCCGCCAGGGATGAGCACACGCAGCGTGGCGCTCTTGCGCTCGATGGCGGCCTGCTTGATGTTGACCTTGATGCCGTTAGAGAGCTGCCGCAGCCTGAGGCCGAGCGCGTCATCCTTGTAGAGCCTGCCGTTGTCGTTGAGGTATGTGTCGAGGTCCGTCTCGTTGGGAAGGTCGAGCGGCTTGAACGAGGGAGGGTTGGCGCGGCTGATCTCTTCGATCCTCTCCTGGCTGAACAGACGGTCGGGCGCCTGCCCCTCCTCTGAGATGGGGTGCACCTCAGCGTCGGCCGCTCGCTGCAGCACGTTCAGGATGTCCTGCTGCGTCACTTGCAGCGGCTTTTCAGCCTTGGCCTCCCTGTCGCGGTAGGTCATGGGGAAGCACGCAATGACGCCGGATGGTGCGGGCATCTCAGGGTCGTTGTAGGCGATGAGCCAGTCGCAGATCTCCTGTGCCTCCCGGTTGACCTCCTCGAGTGTGGCGGTCTGCAGCAGAGTGCTGCCGATGATCTTCTCCTGCTCGAGGTCCATCATGGCGTGGCCGCACGCGGCGTTCTCCATGATGGCCTTGACCAGGTCGGTCGACAGCACTCGGTCGGCGTGGAGCCGCTGCAGCTCGGCCATGTAGGCATTTTTGACCGACTCGAGCTCCATCGCCGTCACGCCGTACAGGCCCATCCGACGCACCTGAGTGGGGTGGGGTGGGCACAACACACTCAGACGGATGAGTGTGGGTATGAGGGCGTTTGTGTGTGGGGGTGACGTACCTCTTGGACGGCGACCTTGACGGCCTCGTCCCATGACTCGGCGTCGGTCTGAATGTCGAGGGCGCACACCCTGCACGCCTCGCGCACCGAGTCGGCCTCGCTCAGCTCCACATACTGGAACAAACCTCGGCCTCTGCAGCCAGCCATCCATCCACACAACAGCATATATGAGTGTATGTCGGTCGCACCTGCCGAATATGGTGAGCCTCGAGGAGAGCGCGTGCAGCACCACCCTCCTCAGCATCTGCCGCTGGTAGTCCCTGAGTGTCCTCAGCGGCTCGATGGGCTTCTTGACCATCAGACACAGCGACACGCTCTGCAGCAGCTCGTGCTGCCATATCGACGGCGAGTCCACTGACACGCCCCCCTCCTTCATGGCGAACAGCCCCCCCTGAGTGCCCGACACTGCCGCGGTGCCACCAGTGGCCTCTGTGTTGTTCCACCCGCCCTCGACGAGGGTGGCCCATTGCCACTGGTGGTGTATTGGAGGGAAGGAGAGCGACTGCTCCTTGAGTGTGTTGGTGTAGAGGTCCTTGTAGACCGGCCGCTGGTCTTCGCGGAAGGGCTTCTCGAGCCGCGAGAAGACGTGATGGATGGCCGCCTCGGCCTCGTCAGCATTGACGTCCCCGACCAGGTAGACACACGCGTTGTCTGGCCGGTAGTGTGTGCCGTGGAACTCCTTGACCTCTGGGGTGGTCCACTTGCGGATGAGGTCCAGCTGGCCGATGGGGAACCGCTGAGCCAACCTGTTCTCCCGATGCAGCACAGACAACGTCTGGCACTCGTGCCTGAGACAGTACCACCACCGCCACCACACAGACATGAACACGTGGAAAAAAACACCACGCGCATCCTCCTCCCATCCACCCATCCATCCATCCATCCATCCAGTCAGTCGGTCACCTCACCTGTATTCGACGGTGTTGACCATGGAGGCCTCCGAGAGGACGGCGTTCCTCTCCTTGTTGACCCGCTTGTCGCTGAACTGTGTGGGTCCCTCGAGGACGTCATACAGTGCCTCCAGTGCCTTGGGCATCATGGACACCATCTGCTTGCCTTTAAGGCCGTAGAGGTTGAGCTCCTCATCCACCACGGGGCAAGACGCGAAGAAGACCGTATGGTGGAAATCCGTGTAGGCGTTGGTGTTGACCGTCTTGCGCAAAATGGCCTCACGCTTCCTGAAGAGCGACAAGGAGAGAGAGGGAGCGACGTGTGTGGTGTGCATTGCAGTGCATGGTGTGGTTTGTATGATCTGCCATTGTGGCGTCTTGTCTGTCTTGTCTTACGTGCTGCCCATGTATGCGATGTGTTCGCATAGGTGTGCCATGCCCTGCTGCGATTCGAGCTCGTCTGCGCTGCCGGCATGGACCTCCAGATAGGCCTCGAACCGCCCTGGAGGGTAGCCGTGGGGCATCACGATGTACTTGAGACCGTTGGCCAGCTGACCGCGGCGAATCTGATGAAGGAATCAATGAATGGAGGCAGGCAATGCAATGCAATGCAATGCATGGATTCCCTCCGGGGCGTGCGCTGCGTCCGTGTTGAGTTGACGTGTGTGGATGTGATGTGATGTGTGCCATGTGCCATGTTGACTTGACCTTGGGGTTGAACGGCAGGGGTGTCTTGAGCCAGTTTTCCCTCAAGTGACCCTCTGCGGAGTTGGCATCCTCTGTCGCACGTATCACCTGACACCACACGTAACCACCGATAACCACACACACATCACACAAACAATGATCCGATCCACAGGGTCTGTCTGTCTGTCTGCTGCCAACCTGTGTGTCGGGTGCCACGACGGTGGCTGACTGCATGGTGATGGAGCAAGGAGCTACCAAGTAACCATGAGAGGGGGAGGGAGAGGGATGCCGCCGCAGCCTCGCGCCACGTAATGGTCGCATGGGCTGCCCAAAACCTCTGCACACACAGCACAGCACAGCAGTAGACATACAGATAGACAGACGTTGCGACAGATGCGTGACATGATCTCGATGATCCATTGAAGATGCATCCATTCCATCTCACCTGTGCATCGGTCTGAGGAATGCATGATGACGCGGTGCTCTCCGCCTCCAATCTGATGCTGCCTGCATCTGCATGGCTGCCCTGCACCCCTCCAGCACCAATACAGCAACCACTCCCCACACCAATGAGGCCTTCATACCCACCACGCGCCAGAAACAGGAGTCCACCATCTTCATTCACACAAACCAGCAGCCTCTTCTTCCCCTCCGCCTTTCCCCGCGAGCTTGAAGCGGATCGCGAGCTGTGATTCCCTGAGCCATCCCCCTCCCAGAGCCATTCAGGATGCTCGTGTAATGCCTCTTCGACAGCGAGAGTGAGGAATTTCAAAACAGATCTTCCTGGGGGCCTGAGAGTGACACCGAGCCCCGAGCAGCGAAGCAGAGGATGTCGAGCATCAAGATTGGCCGATACGTGAGCATCGCAGACGCCAGGAGTACACTTCATGCATTCATTCATCCCCAGTTTCTGTCTGCCTGTCTGTGGTGTTCATGCAGCAACTGGGCGAGGCGATTGGCAAGGGTGGCTTCGGGGTAGTGTTTAAGGCATTGGACACCAAGACGGGGGAGTTTGTGGCGGTCAAGCAGGTGCCCACACACAACCTGTCCAAGGAAAAACTCGACTCACTGCGGGTAAGGGAGTCAGTCAACGGCACGCTGTCATGCGTGCCTGCCTGCCCTCGGGCATATTTATGTATGTGCATCATGCATCAGATGGAGATCAGTTTGCTGCGTCGTTTGAACCACCGCAACATCGTCAAGTATCACGACTCACTCACCGACGGCACCTTTCTTTACATCGTCCTCGAGTGAGCTCCGAGTGCGAGTGGCAGTACCGCAGCAGACAGGGAGGCAGGGAGGGAGGGAGGGAGGGAGGGAGGCGGTGTATGGGATGGGATCTCTCTGCCTGACTCCCTCCCTCCATCCCTTGTGTGTGGCCTGTGGTCAGGTATGTGGAGAGCGGGTCTCTGGCCAGCATCATCAAAAAGTACGGCAGCTTCATGGAGACCCTCGCGGCCATTTACACCTCACAGGTACCTAACCTAGTCAGGCCAGGCCAGCCAGGCAAGCCACCTCCCTCTCAACATCCTTTGCTTGCCTTCATGTCAGCCAGGTGTTGCGCGGGATGCGCTATCTTCACGAGCAGGGAGTGGTCCACCGAGATATCAAAGTGAGCGAGCTGAAAACACGCTCTTGTCATTCCTATCTTGGCGCAAATCTATCGTGTGTGTAGGGTGCCAACATCCTCACGACCAAGAGGGGCATCGTCAAGCTGGCAGACTTCGGTATATATCACAACCACACACAACCAGCCACCGAGTATAGGGCCAGTACTGATGGCTGGCTGGCTCCTTTTTTTTGGGTGCATGACCTCACTCAACTCAGGTGTGGCCCGCAGTCTGAGCGAGGCGGAGAAGACCAGCTCAGTCGTGGGCACACCGTACTGGAGTGAGTGAGGAGATAGATAGAAGGAGGGAGGGACTGAGGACGGAGGGAGGGCTGGATGTTCTTGCTTGCCTTGCACGTTGCTGTGTGCCTGTATACCTGCAGTGGCCCCCGAGATCATTGAGATGCACGTCACCAGCACGGCATGCGACATATGGTATGGTGACCAGACAGACGGCCAGGGGATGGGGAAGGGAACCCAATGAAAGCACACATCTCTGTCTGTTTGTCTGTCGGTGTGGTGTGCGTAGGAGCGTTGGGTGCACGGTGATCGAGATGCTGACGGGCAAGCCGCCCTACTTCGACCTAGCACGTATTCCACGCGCACACGCGCAAAACACCATCAACAAAGAGGTGTGTGTGTGTGTGTGTGTTTCCTCCCCTGCCCTGTCTGTCAGCCATGCCGGCGCTGTTCCGCATCGTTCAGGACCCCCGCCCGCCCCTCCCACACGACATATCGCCGGTGAGTCGTCGGTGGGTCAACTCTGCGGGAATGGCTTGGTCCCTTCTGTGGTGTGTGTGTGTGCAGGAGCTGCAGAGTTTCCTGATGGCGTGTTTTGAGAAGAACCCTGAGAAGAGAATCACCGCCGCAGAACTCATGGAGTGAGTGGGTCACTGAGTCAGTCTGACACACGCCAGCAGCCGAGAAGCATCGGCGGCGTGCGTGCGTTGGTGTCCATCCATCGCTGCAGGCACGAGTGGATCCGGCACTTCTCCAAGCAGGGCCTGCAGGTGGTGAGTGACGACCACCACATACGCTTCCACATGTCATGTGTGTGCTGTGCTGTGGTGTGGTGTGGTGCTGGGTGCAGACACAGACTTTGACGACAGACGGTCCGTCGCTGCTCCCCCAGCCGCCCAGCCACCCTTTGCCCATGCACAAGGGGCATCACGTGCCACACATACACGAGGAGGACGAGCACGACCACGATCAGGACTTCTCAGACCTCACCGTAGAAGGCCCACCCGGCATCCTACCAGGTCACCAACACCGAGGAATGCAGCGAGCCAGGGAGGGAAGGGGAGGCATGTGTGGATTGCTCTGGTGTCTGTCGGCCAGGCAAGCCGTCCGAATCACCAGAAGAAGAGTCGCTCGAGCAGGTCGAGAAAGGTGATAGCCACACACACACACACACACACAAACACACCACATCCGGATCCGTGTAAGTAAGAGTCGTGTGGTCTGATGTGTGTGGTGTCGTGACAGAGGAGGGCAGCGTGGCGCGGCACCTGCAGTCGATCGACGACCCCTCCCAGCTCCTCGCCTCGCTCCCCCTCCCTGCTGCTGCTATCCCCCGCCCCCCGACACACCTCTCGTCGCCGCAGATGTCATCCGCCACACCCACTGGCCTGCCACTGCCGCCATTCCATCATGGGCCACCCGGACCCCTCATGGCGGCCTCAGCAGCAGCAGCAGCAGCAGCAGCTGAGGCTCCCCCGTTCCCCTGGGTGGAGGGTGCCAGTGGGGAGAGCATGCTCGAGCCTGCACAGGCGGATGACAGGTGCGTGTGGGAGAGAGAGAAAAGAGAACAGTGCCGCTGGCCCATCCATCCGTTGTGTGTGTGTGTGTGTGCGGTAGGCTGTACGGTCGTGAGGGTGTTGGTGTGGGCTCGGGCCCGCCCGCGGCGATGGCTGCGTCGGTTCCACCCCCTCTGCACCCAGGGGACGGTGCGCCGCTGGCCTCCCGGCCGTCCTACCCATCTGAGGGCGTGATGCTGGCCGCTGCGGGCCCCCCTGCAGATGGTGTCATCATTACCAGCCCACCGCACTCGACCATGCCGCCCGGATTCTGGGTGGGTAAGACACTCATTGACAGATGGCCATACTTGCATCGCCTGGATGCAGGGGATGTGCAGCGCAGCGACCATTGATGGAGGAAGGCTCATTCGTTCTTCTCTCTGTCTGTCTGTCTGTCTGTGTATGGCAGCCGGCGCACGTGCCAGCGCCGCTTCCCCCGCCACAGCCGTCCCCCAGCGCGCCAATCATCGATTTCACTGCTGACCTGACGCCCATGCAGCCACCGCCCGACATGATGATGCATGCGCATGCCCCTGAGAGGGTGGTCAGCATCAGCGGCCTCCAGACATCGTTCTCGATGGAGAGGCTGGATGCGACCAACACGGCAGGGTCGCAGTATTTGGAAGAGATCGCGAGTGCACTGGCGCAGGTGAGATGGATGATACAGGGAGGAGAGGGGAGGACGGACGCTGGGAGGGTGCGGTGCATATTTGTTGGTTTGGTGTGTGGGGTGCATGTGGCTTCAGCTGCGTTCCATCCATCCGCTGCCCTTCGCGCATCCGTCGGGCCATGAGGCCAAGACCAAACTGGTGTGTGGGTGGGTGCATGCATGGACACACGCGGGAGGGAGGGAGAGAATGCCGTGGGCTCCACGAATGAACAATGTCTGTGCTGAGTCATTCATGTGTGCAGGTGAGTGTGTTTGCCGAGACGATGAGGGACGACACTTTGGCGCAGAAGGTGGCCTCACAGGGCACAGTACACTGCATTGGTAAGTAAGAGAGAAACACACACACATATCCACACGCGCGGCACGCCATTCAACCAATCGGCCGGTCGGTCGTCTACGCAGAGTCCCTCCACCTCAACGACCCCGAGGTGACGGCGGCCGTCCTGCAGCTCATCAACCACGTACCGACCCTAACAAACATATAGCCGTTTGCAGACAGGCACATGGGAGGGGTGGGGTGCCAAGCAGGGATCTCTCGCTGTGTGTGTGGATGGTGCAGTTGTTCTGCAAGTCGTCGTTGCGTGAGCATGCCGAGAGTCTGCTGAGCCCTGGTCTGGTGGCGCAGGCACTCCGCTTCACACACGCGGCGTACGACGCGCGAATCAGGTGATGCTGGTAGTCTTGCCTTGCTGATGCTGACTGACGGTGTGTGGCGCATGGTGTGTAGGTTGGAGGCGGGTCGTTTCATGGAGCACCTGAGCCGCACCAGGATCCCCACGCAGTGCCTCGACCAGTTCTCGGACGCCGTGGTAGGTGGGGCGGGACCATGCGATGGATGATGCCCTCCCACACCCACACCCACACACCGAGTGTGGGTGTGTGTGCAGGTGAACTTGATCCGGTCCAACTACTACGAAGACGAAGACCTAGTCCATGTGGGCATCGATGTCGTGGACGCCATGGTGCACAACAACGTCCTCAGGAACGACTTCTGCCGCCTGTTCGCATGCAAGTACGGCGTGCGTGCGCTGGTGGAGTCCATCGACTTCCTCGCCGCTGACCTGGCTGACCTGGCCGCTTCGGGAAGGAAGCAGGCCAGGTCACGGCTTGACAAGTATGTATGCGCCTCAATATGGCCACATACAGACCGACCAATGATGGATTGATGGATGGATGGATGGATGTGTGTAGGGTCTTGGATGCGTTGGAGTGTCTGTTTTCGAGTTCGTCGTTCGTCAAGGTGTGGATACCCAAAGACGACTACGAACAGCTCAGATTCGTCATCGACGGTACCGTGCCCGACGCAGCGCAGCGCAGCGCAGCAGCATCCCATCCCATTTATTGAGTCTGTCACTCTCTCTACATCTCTCCATATCTGTGCTTGTGTGTGTGTGTGTGTCTGTCAGCCCTGTCGTCATGCCTGGACATCCTGGGCACCGAGGCCAAGCTGAAAGTACTCAAGTGAGTGAGGGAGCGAGGGAGCAAGAACGTAGGCGCCCTTCCTGTCCTGTTTGTGTGTGGATGTGCATCGATTGGTCCTGAAGATGTTTCCACGGCCTTGCGAGCGAGGGCTCATTCGGCAACATTTTCGAGAACGAGGGTCGGTCGGCTGGATAAGAGAAAAGTCGGATGGATGGATGGATGATGCACCTGTCTGTGCGATGGTCGTGCAGGTATGGTGGAGCGTCTGGTGCATCTGCTGCTGAGGGAGGAGACCGAGGGCAACCAGACCACTGAAAGCATCGTGAATGCGCACACACAGTCTATCAATCTCATTGTTCCCTGTCTGCGACTGTGTGGCGGCAATGAATGCAATGCAGTTGGTTCGTCAGGAGATCGTGTGGAACATCCATATCTTATCCAAAGTCTCAAAACCCAGACAAGTAAGCTAACCGACCGCCCTACCTCCCTGTTGACACGCATCACCCCTCCGCCTCTCCCTCTCTGCGTGTGCCTGTCTGTCTGTCTGTCTGTCTATATGTTTTTCAGGAGCAGGCGGCCCTAGCGGGCATCGTGCCCTTGATGATCCGCATCGTGCAGGACCCCCGGCCGTCCTCCCCCTGGTCAGACGACTTCCGCGCGAAAGCCCTGGAGGGGCTGGGCATCCTCTCACAGGCGTCTTCCATCACACGACACAAGGTCAAGGAGGACGGCGGGGTGCCCTTCTTCATCGACAGACTCGGCGACCTCGAGGGCGAGCCACTGCTCGACCTGCGACACGTGGCTCTCGAGGCACTCGTCCCAATGCACCAGCCGTAAGGAACCACACACACACACACACCATCCCCCCCTGCAGCAGACGAGTGTGTTGACCATCGGTATGTGTCTTGGTGTGTTCATGTGTGTGTGTCAGGTTGAGTGCGGCAGCCTCGTTTGACCACAGTGAAGGTGGTGAGGGGGAGTCGTCGGCCGATGTAGCGTCGCTGTGGTCGACTGACCCATTTGAGGAGTTGCTGGTGGCACACAAGGAGCAGCTGGTGGCCAACCTGTGCGTGGCCTGGCAGAAGCTGGCATGCAGGAGCTCATTCGTCAAGCTCGTCGACTCGACCGGACGGGTGAGACCGAGCCAGGCCACCGGAGGGCGTGATTATGTGTGGGGTGTGGGGTGTGGTGTGGTGTATGTCAGTTGATAACGCATTCGAGTGCCATGCGCGACGCCATCCTCAAGAGCCACGACTTCCTACATCAGTTTTGTAAGTGTGGGAGTGATGATTTCAGGTCGTCCTCAAGCGGTAATTAATTCGGGCTGGGCTCCCTGTCTGTGTTTGCACGATCCACCCCGCCCACCACTGCAGGCAAGACGCTCGATGAGGGCAACGCAGAAGGTGAGTGCAGTGCATACCATCAATCACGATGGTTCTAAAGTGCCTATATATTCTTTGCTCTGTGCCTATTCATGGTGTGTGGTTTGTTAAGTGCAGCTCAGGGCCGTCTGCTGCGGTTACTGCGGGCCCTGCTGGAGCACGCTGGGGAGCTATCGCCTGAGGACAGACACGCACTCCTATCCAAGTAAGTCCACACACACCCACACCCACACCAGCAGAATGGATGAATCGATGGCAAGTCAGTCGGTCTGTTTGTGTGGATGGTATCCACAGGGAGAATTTGATGAGTCTGCTGCACGGCCTTTCGAGGGGCGAGATGGCCAGCGTTGTCAATGTCAGCCAGCGCACAATGAATGAATGCCACACGCAAGATGCTCCCGCACAGCACATGGGTGTATCGTATGCCGTCTCTGTGTGGCTGGGCTGTGTGTGTCGGTGCAGGCCGAGTTGGCTCGAGGCATTTTGCGTCGGCTGCAGTACAGCAGCGTTCCCGCATCCGTCTACTCGTCGACCGAAGACTGACTGACCGACCGACCGACATGGTCGGTGTGTGTAGAGGTCCATGTGTAGTTGACCTGCCTGGGGTGTATTTGTTGGCCTCATCGTTGACAGAGACAGACAGACAGACAGACACACGGACACGTCGTTGACACAAAACTGTGATATATGTGACCAATGGGCACATGAACGAGCACACAGAAGTACACACAAGCACCTCAATCATGCCAGGTGCCGGTGCGATGCACAGACGCACAGACGCACAGACGAGCCACAACAAACAGGGCGTGGCGTGCAGCCAGCAATCCAAAACCGCGACGCGTGACAAATATATTATAACGCCCCCGACCAATGAGTGTGTGGCAATGCATTCACTGCAGTGCACAGACGCAGACGACATCACACACACGAACACACAAGTGTGGTGTGTGTTATACTGAAAAAGACCTATCGACAACACAGTCAGTGCGCCCCTCCCTTTGCACATCCACACACACACACACACACATGGGCCGGCCATCATGGAGCATAGCAGTAGTCGAAGTTCTCGCTTCTGACATCGATGGGCACTTGTCTCATCATCGCACCACCAGCAGTACTACCCCTGTTGTCGCTGGGGGTCCGCGGCAGCCTCGCTAGCCGTGTCAGCAGTGCGGTGAGGAAGGCGTCCAGACTGTCGCTGTTGAGGCACCGCCACGCAAACCTCTGAGCACCTCGAGCGATCCGCCGCTCGAGCTCCCTGTCCTCATGCACAATGGCCATCTGCACCGCATCGAAGCATATGCACCCACACAGACACATACACATACAAAACGAGGGAGTCTAGTCTGTCTGTCTGACCTTTCGGACAAGATCGTCGACCGACTGGAAGGGCAGTATGATGCCGCCCTTTTTGAGGCCATAGTCGAAGAATTGGAGGTTGGTGAATGCTCGTAGGTTCTGGAAGACGATGCTGCCGGCCAGGAGGGAGAGCCGGAGACGGGTCGACCACGGACCCACTCCCGGCAGGTCCAGCAGGAACTTGTGCTGCAGCTGGCGCTGCGACCACTGCTCGAAGGGCGCGGCGTCCGCACGACAGATGGCCGAGGCGTCACAGCCGAACATCCTGCAGACAGACGGACAGACGACGGACCAGAAGGACAGGCACATGGGGGGTCATTCATTTCGTGTCTGTCGGTGTGTGGTAGAGGGTAACTTAGCGGACCTGTGAAGCGCCTCTGCCCTTGGGGTGCAATTGATCTTGTTCACATCCGTAAGGTACACGTGGTCGAAGACGGGCCGCTGCTGCATGCTGCTGCTTCCCCGGTGCGCATGGCCACCCGCCGCCTTGACGCGCTGATCCCTCACGTTGGCCAGACAGGCGAAGACGAGCCTCTCATCGGTCGTGAACCGGCCCACGAAATGAGGCAGCGCCTTCTTCCGCCCCCACACCCGCTTCCACTTGCGCGCATCGTCGACGTATCCTGACACAGCGTCGCGCATGGCCTTGTCCTCCTTGCGGTTGAACTGGAAGTACGGCAGCGCTGGGATGTCGGTGTTGAAGAAGAGCGACCCGCTTATGGACAGCAGCAGCCCCTTGGGCGTGTGTCTGACGAACGAGTAGGGCTGCTGCAGGCGCCTTCTCTTGAGCACGTCGCCGTCGCCGTCCTCATCGACCTCCAGGTCGAGACACCTCTCCCTGTAGAAGGGGGGCTCGGTGTGCCACAGGGCGGGGCAGTCGTCGAGGTGGATGAAGAACTCAACGCCCTCGAAGGGGTGTGGTTGCTGTTTTTGTGGCTGCTGCTGGGTGATGGGCGGTGTGGGAGCGGTCTTGCTGAGCACCCGCTCCAGCCGTTTTAGGACGTCTCGCACGTGAAGGGGCTTTGTTTTGAAGGGCTTCAGCCGGCCGTCAAGCACGCAGTGGAGCTTGCCGTCGACCACCTTCAGACGCAACGCTACGGGGAGGCCAACAGACAGACAGACAGACACACACAAGGATTGCAATGCGGGCGTGATGGCAGATGTGTTGGCTTCCATCCTATCAGGCCGACCAGTGTTTTGCGGGAAGGAGTGTTCAAGGGTTCTCTCCAGTATGTCGTCATGCACACCCTCGAAAGCCCCGAAGAGCACCCGCACAGTGTCTTCCCAGTAGGCCCTGCACCCGCTCCTGGTCATATTGGACAGCCTGCTGAGGAACATCCTCGCCGTCCCCTTCCACAGATGCCGCTGCCGCTCGTCCTCAATGTCATACCCATAGGGCAGCCCGTCAGCCAGGGCGAATCCGCCCTGCTCCAGCAACAAGACCTCTTTCTGCCGCTTCATCAGGTCGTCCCGTCCTCCCCCGCCCCCAATGTGCATCCGCATCGCCACTCTCCGCACATCGATGTCTCTCCGCACATCGATGTCGCCCCAGGGCCACTTCAAGGTCCCCCACAGCCAGTATGCCCGCAGCATGGTCACGACGCTGAGCACCAGGCTCATCCAGGCCCCCCAGTAGAGACCCCTCCACACGCGGTGAGCACTCCAGTGTTTGTCAGCATGCGGCTGCAGCATTGGGGTGTCGGGTGGGTCGGCACCTGAGAGCCGCGCGGCTCTCACGCGTGCTGTCGTTGCTGCAGATGAAGGCTGCTGACCACCCGGATTCTGTGCAGCAGACGTGGGGGGCTCTGTTCGTTGCTTCTCGTCGTTGGTGTGGTTGTTTTTCTTCTGCGTGGGCCTTTTCATCTGCAAAGGAAGCATCGAACGAGACGCATTGGCTCAGCCGTTGACTGCGAGCTCAACGGCTGGCAGGACGCTGATCTTTGGGCCATATCCTCCCCCGAGTCGCGAGGAGCTGAAAGGGAAAGACCAATTGCACAAGGTGATACACATCACATCATGGATAGAGATGCATGGCATGGCATGGCGCAGCATACATGCCAGATAGATTGTCACACTTTTGTTCTCTGTGGTGTTCTGTCTGTCTGTCTGTCTGTCTGTCTGTGTAGTCAGAAGAGGGCTCTGGCAGATCTGCGATGCTTCCAGGGTCGGGCGGCAGCAACAATCACAACAATGCAGCAGCAGCAGCAGCGAAGGCCGCCGAGATGATGGCCAACACGCAGCAGCCATCGACCTCGTCGCTCATCAAGGCATCCCTCCCGCCCGCCACGCGAACAGCCGCAGCCAAAGTCGTCGCCCTGCTCCTCGGATTGGCCGTCTTCGTGAGGAGGAAAGTAAAGGTGGTCGCCATTTGCCATCCATCTGAGCTCAACCGGCGCATTTTGCACCAGCTGAGGCGGTATTTGGATGCCTACTTCCCTGCCTGGGTCGGCTTCAACGCTCACATCGCAACGGGCATCGGTTTTGGGAAAAGTGCGCCCAACCTGGAGAAGCTGAGGCAGCGGGAGACCCTCGGGCCGCTCTATGACGGGGGGACGATTTGTTTGGACTGGCACTTTGCGCCTCACCCTCCCACAGATCCCCACCAGGAGGATGCCCCGCCCCCCACCCCTATCATTCTCTGCATCCACGGCATCAACGGACACAGCGACGAGAGTTACCTCAGGCACATGCTCTCCTACGCCCTGGAGAACAACATGCACGCAGTGGCGCTCAACCTGCGGGGGTGTGCCGGCCAGCCGCTGACGTCGCCCTTCACCTACTCGGCTGCCTGCACGAGCGACCTGCACTACACCGTGCATCACATCCATGAGCGGTTCCCCCACAACCCCCTCTTTCTGGTGGGGTTCTCGCTTGGCGGCAATCTGATGGTGAAATTCCTCAGCGAGGAGGGCCATCCTGGCGGCGCGGCGGAGCTCATCACGGCTGCTGTTGCCGTGGCCAATCCGGTAGGTACAGATGCCAACACACCAACACACAACACACAGCACACAGCCATTCACTTGTCCGTCGTTTCCTGCCTGTCTGTCTGTCTGTCTTGTGTGTGCCTGCGCTTTGTCAGTGGGACCTTGTTCGCCTGTCGGTCGTGCGGCCCACTTTGTCCGTTCGGTTCTATAGGTTCCTGATGTGCATCCCCCTCAAGCACCTGGTGCGCAGCAACTGGCACCAGATCAGCCGCCTCGCCGAGCCGCCCTACAGCGTCATGACGAGTGATGAGCTCGAGGACATCAGGCGGTACGTCAACAACCCCTTCACGGGCGGCTTCCCCGCCTTTGATGAGGTGGCGACGTCCAAGGCGCATGGCCACAGGACAGCACAGGAATACTACACCGAAGCATCGAGCGCACGGTGAGCCAAAGGAAAGGGGGGAGATGGTGTGTGTGTGGGTATAGGCGATGGGTGTGTGGTGTGTGGTGTGTGTAGGTATGTGGAGAGCATCAAGACGCCGTTGCTGGCCATCAACGCACTGGACGACCCCGTGGTGCACCCGTCATCCCTCCCGAGGGCACAGATCCTCGCCAACCCCAACATCATACTCATCACGACCGACAGAGGCGGACACATTGGGTGGGTAGGTGGGAGGGAGGGTGGGGGCACACACATGCACGGACAATGAATTGCTCTGCGCGGCTGCCATGCAGTTGGATGGACGGTTTCCCCAATTTCCTTTGGTCTGAGTCGTGGGCGGATCGGCTGGCGCTGGCCTTCTGTAAGACGGTGCTGCAAGAGAGGCAGAGAGGGGGAGAGGGGTCCACGAAGGGCCAGACAAGGGGGGATGGTGAGGGTGGACTCCGCAGCCGGCTCTGAGCGAGACGTGTCCGCGTGTGTGGATATGATATGCTGTGGTGATTGGTGGAAAGGCCAATCGATGGCCTTGACGATGCATGCTTCCTGATGGAATGACTTGTGATTTGAGTGTGAGCGTATGGGGCATTTGTTCTACCTACCCTCTTTCCTTGTCATACTTGCCCTTGTGGTGCTTGCTGCTGCCTGCAATCAATCATTTGATTTGACTGCAGGCAAGAGCAAGGAGCACAAGGATAAGCATGAGAGGCAAGAGCAAGGAGCACAAGGATAAGCATGAGGAGGGAAGGTGTGCACGGCCGCATGACAGACAGGTGAGGTGCGTGTCGGATTCGGGTTGGTTGATGTGGGGGAAATGACGGGTCATTCATTGCAATGAATGCATTGCTGTGTCATGCCAATCAAGTCGCCACACGCAATTCAACACACACACACACACACACTCACACACAGACGAGTATTGAGGCATTCATTCTCAGGCAGCGATAGCAATCAGCCGCACCTCCAGCCAGTCAGTCAGTCAGTCCACCAGCGTTCGTCCGCCCATGACAAATACATACATTCACACCAACAGCCAGCCCACCAGCACGATCGATAATAATGCGCGTAGGCAGCTACGCGTCTGTCGCCGACAGCCGTGCCGTGTCTGTCGTGTCCTGTCGTCCCCCGCCCTGCCCTGCCCTCCCGTGCCCTAGGTACTGATACCCAACCCGTGCCACTGGAGACAGATCGGTAGACAGACAGACGGACAGACGGACAGACAGAGATATAAATGCGTGCTGCCCTTACCAAAAGGCGCACGGCAAATTGCTCGGTATGATGATTGATGTGGTGTTTATATAGTCTCCTCTCTCTCCTCCCTCCCTGCCTCTCTCCTGTGTCACCCCTCTCCCTATTGGTCAGCCAAATATGGCAGACAGACAGACAGACAGGGAGAGGGAAAAAATGCCGCCATATCACCAGGCAGGCAGCCAGGCAGCCTGCAGTCATGCGACAAAACGCATGTGTTGGAGGGAGGGAGCCTGCCTGTCTGTGTGTGTGCATGGTGCTCTTGCTGCTGCTGTCTGTGATGATGTGGATGAGGATGTGGTGTGCTATGGTAATCGATATGTGACCTCGCTGCCAGACAGACAGCCAGCCAGACATCAACGTCTGTCTCCTTTTGCTTAGGATACGATAGCCAGCCAACCAACCAACCAGCCAAGATCACACCGTACCCAATGCATTCCTTCACACACCCACACACACACACATGTATCCATGCCATGCGCACCAACAGACCACCTCACCTCTCTCTCACACATCAATCAATCCAATCAATGAATGCATCCCATCAACCAATGAACCAACGGATGCATTCATCAAATCAAAACCAGGCATACATACAACAAATCGACCGACCATCGATGTATCCAGTCCATCGAGAAAGCGGCTCCTGCTGCACTCACTGCACCTGTACACCCTACCCGCCGCCGCTGCCACCCCCGTTCGTCCGCTGCCTCTTGTTGACATCAGATCCATCACCACCACCTGCAATCTCCTCCTCCCGAGTCCGCTTGTGACCACAGACAGCCGCCCGCACGCTACCGGCGCCAGCTGCAGCCCCCAGCACACTCTCCACATGCCCCACCAGGCCGCTCGCCTCCCCGTCGGTGAGCTCCACCCCGAATGGCCGATCGGTGGATGTCGACGCCGATGGGTTGATGGTGCGGCGGATGGAGGCGGCCAGCGTCTGGGTGACGATGGGCAAGAGGGGCTGAGACTGGGGCTGGGGATACGACAACGACAATGACGAGGTGGCCTGAAAGAAGCAAACAGATGCAGCACAGCAGGTGTGGCGAGTTGAGTTGCTGAGTTGGGTGGTCTGCTCACCCTATTGGGGTGCGATGCGCTAGCGTTATCGATAGAGACGGTCCTATCCATGGGAGCCCCTCCATCCCTCGGCCCAAACCCCGCAAATATCGACGTACGAGTGCCGGTGCCCCCGATGCTGCCCCCGGCCGGCTCCTCCCCCCGATCACCACCACCATCCCGCATCTCGACGTCACCACCGGCACCCGCACCACCAGGAGCCACTGCTGGTGCTGCAGCACCAACGCTGCCCCCACCGCCCCCCTCCTTGCTGCCCTCGTCCGTTGCCGTGTCCCCCACTGGGCACACGGGGGTCTCCATCTTCTCGTCAGATGTGTCGCCGTTGTCGTCGTCGCCATAGTCTCCGACAAACTGCTGGAGGTTCTGGATGTTCCTCTCCCTGGATGGGCTGACGGGCGGCCGGCACACAACCGACGGGGCACTGACACTCGCACCCGCACTCGCAGAGGCAGCAGCAGCGGCGACTGTCGGTGCCGATGGCGCCGGCGCCGTGGCCTTGGGTTGCGGCACCTTTGGCTTGGCAGGGGGTTTGGTGGGGTGGGAGGTGGAGGGCGGGATGGTGCGGGGGGCTGCGAACTTGTTTGAGGTCTTGCCCACCCCAGCGAGGCATGCGAGGGGGGCCTGCTTCTTGTCGTCGTTGACGTCGGTAGTGCTCTTGGCCTTGGCTGCTGCTTTGGAGGGAGGGTGCTGGGGGGGGTGGGGTGACGGTTGGGGCCGAGCCGCAGATGCAGATGCAGACGCGGACTGCGATGCTGAGGGGTCTGAGGGGGCCAGCTCATCCATGAAGCTCATAAAAGACCTGCACTCACAGACAAACACAATAACAACAACAACAGCAGCAGTCAGAAAGAGAGAGAACACTTGATACCGACCACCACGTGGAGCTCCCTCCCCTCCCCTCCGCTCCCTCCCATACTTACGTCTTGGGTCTGTTTTGTCCGAGGACTATCTTGATCTGCCTCTGGCTATTCTTGCAGCCGGTGCCCGTGACCCTCTTGTCCGCCCTGTTGACGTTGTAGAGGTGGGCGGGTGCCCGATCGGGGGCGCGGGATGGTGGGGATGGTGGGGGGTGGTTGCTGCGGCCGTTCGACAACACGCCGTTGACACGGGTGGATGATGCAGAAGCAGCGGCAGCCGCAGCAGCAGCAGCAGCAGCGGCAGGTGGCGGCTCGCACCACGGCACGCCGTTGCCGTTGCTGACGTCACCGTTGACGGAGCTGCTGGCGGTGGTGGTGCCCGTGCTGGTGGGCGACGGCCCCTCGTGGTTGTGCCCGTTGGCCAGGCCAGCCCCCACACCTGCCCCGCCCTTGGCCCCCGCTCCCCCCGCCCGCTCGTAGAAGGCCATGTACACGTCGCTCTCGAAATACGGCCGGTTGACCCGGTCGCGCAGGGCCTGGTCGTTGCCCAGCGAGCTGATGTGGCTGTCGTCGGCCTCGATACCGCCCCGCGGCACCTCCCGGCCGGCCTCGATCCTGAAGGTCTTGGTGACGGCCGTGTAGTGCCCCGCCCGTACGCTTCGGCCGTGGTGGAGGGTGGCGGCGGCGAATCGGTAGGGAAGGTTGCCCTGCTCGGTGGCAATGGTGAGGTCGATGGGGCAGCGGACGGGTGTGTTGATCTTCCAGGTGTTGGCTCCCCAGGGGAAGCGCTTGAGGGCGAAGCAGATGATGGGGCGGAAGTCGCTGAAGGCGAACTGCCGCATGGCCACCCGCTTGGCCTTGCACCTCTCGCATGCGTAGTCGTCGATCGTCTCGGGGCGGCAGAAGTTGCGGATGCCGTCGGCCAGGCAGCCCACGTGGTGGGGCGGGGCGAGGTCGATGGAGATGTGGAACTGCGGCTCACGCTGTTCCGTCACCCGCTTGCACCCTGAGCAGGTGACGCGGCTGATGGTGACGCCCCCGATGAGCTGGTGCAGGTGGGTGGCCGTCCGCAGGGCGGCGGGAATGTCCTTCTCCTCGTGGCCGCAGTACAGCGACCTCACCCAGCTGTCGCACAGGCCCATGAAGCACTCGTGCGCATCCTGCTGCAGCCCGGGGATGAACTGCGGGTTGATCATGCTCAGGGCGTTCCGGGTGGTGAAGCCAAAGGCGCGCTCCGAGGGCCCGAAGGACCACTGGTGGTTGTGCGGGTTGCCGCCGTCGTAGAGGTAGATGCACAGCCGCTCCGCCATGCACAGGAGGCAGTCGTTGGGGTACTTATGGCACCACTCTTTCCCTCCGCCGGGCGCGTACTGCTGGTAGGCCGGGCAGGTGCTCGAGTGGCGCTTGGACAAGAAGTAGCGCACGAGGTGGAAGCAGTGGAAGAGGCACTGGAGGAGGGCGTTGAGGTAGCAGGAGTTGCCCTCATTCCGCAGCCCGATGCGCAGAGGCCTGTTGATGTTGACGTCGCGGCCGCCCTCGAAGGCATCCTTCTTGCTCGCACACCCGATAACCAGCTGCCGCGCCTGCTGCTCAGTCAGCATGACGCCCGCACGTCCTCATTCGCTCCTCCGTCGACTCGTCCCTCCGCCGGCTGCCCACTCCACTCTCCTCGGCGACAGAGACCGAGGGGAGCCGCGACGACAGGACGCGCGGCAGAAAAACAGAACCGAACTCAATTAGGACGCATCACGGCAACTCAGGCAGGGATGGGACGTTGAACAAACTCCGAAAAGGGGCAGAGCTTCGTCTTTCAACCTCGCCTCCTGAGCTCGCAGACGCCTAGGGTGCTGCCTGAAACCGGCAACGTCGGGAAGGAGCGGACTCTGATCATCGACTGATCTACGCCCACTCCTGCCCGTGTCATGTGCTGGGGTTGCTGCTGACGTTGGGATGGACTTTGAGGTGTATGCGACGGTGCTGCTGCTTATACTCTTCGCCCTCTTCTTCTTTGCGTGGTACGGCTACGGCAGAGCATCATTCATGTGGAGCATGTGTGTGTGTGTGTGGCTGCTTCCTCAGGTTGGGTTGGTATGCACGCAAGCACAACAGGCTGAGAGTCTGATCTGAGCATATTGGCTGCATCTATCAGCAAGTCGCTTTTGACTCTCTCGGTTGCCATGACATCGACGCCGGGCTATGAGACGATCGTTGGCATTGGCTCTCTGCTGGGCGAGAAGAGCTCCCGCATGACCTTCCCCCATCTCATCAACTTCAGACTCGGCAGACTCAAAGGATTCCGACGTGTCTTCGAGCATCCCGTCACCGACTGGTGAGCCAACCACTTAGGCCTGGACACACACACAGACACACACGATGACGCTGATGGGATGGTTGCCGATTGCCCATCTAGGTTTGAGACCGGGATCGCCAACCGGGAGACTCTCGAGTGTTCGGGCCTGACTGCAGAGCGCATCGAGGATGGCCAAACGGACGAGGGCTTCCTCGTCACCGTATTCGAGATACCTGTCAGCGACCTGGACGCATTCTACCAGCGAGAATGGGAGTTCGAGATTCTGAAAGTGCCCGTCACAGACATGAATGGGTGGGTGAGCGAATGCGAAGAAAAGAAAACACCCCACCCACAAGACAGATCGATGTATGTCATCATGGGTCTCTTGATTGATCTGCTGCGCTGTGTGCTGCTCGTGCTGAATTGAATGCAGTGTGTCCACAGAGGGTCTCTTGTGCGCACGGGCGAGTGACAAGATGCTGCAGGACAAGTGGGGGATGGACGAATGGCACAAAAAGGTCACCCACCGGGGCATCGACACCATTTGGCACTGGCAGGGGGAGATCTGGCCATGCAGGCCCTACCTGCGGCACTGCGTCCTCGCCGCCAGGCGGCTGGGGCCGCAAGTCGAGGCGGACTTCCTCAACCACACGTATCTCTACGACAGGAAGACGCGCCTGCGCGAGTATGTGGAAAGGAATGCGGGTCTGCTGGATGAGGAGCCGATAGCCTTGTATGCCGAGAGATACGGGGGAGGGTGACCGATGGACGGATGGACGGATGGGTGTGTCTGTGCGTGAATGATGAGGGAGGGTGGATCAGGACATTTTTGTGAAGAGGTGTCTTCATGTATGGTCACGCGCTGGCCACATACTCGCACAGAAAGACAGTCGATCACCACTACAGCCTGTCTTGTCTGCACACATAGCCTTGCTGCCTGCACTCCTTCTCGCCAAATGCAATCAATGCTTCCGACACGTACCTACACACACACACACACACAGACAGTGCCGCCTCCCTCTATACACGTGTATAGTGAGTGGATCATCGATCCATTGTGGTCTCCTGTGTAGGACCCCAGAGTGCTCTTCGCCTCTGCGGTCCCTGCTCAGGGGACTGCACTGACATGCTCTCTATCAGGCTGCTCTGGCGGGCACACTCACGTTTGTTGACTTGAGGCCCGCAGACAACAGAGTGCAGCCTCGACCTCACTGCAGCCTAAGCTGTGTGCTGCTCTGCTGTCAGCGTACCTCACTCATTGCAACGTTTGACCGGTATCGCCCTGTGATCTGCAGCGTAGCGGAGAGAGAGAAGCAGCATCGATGAGTGTGTTTGTGAGCCGTCATCCGTGTGTAGGTGCGTCATTCAATGGAATGCATGGAGGTACGTATGTGTCTATGTGGCGTCAGACACTGAATGATTCCGGATAAGACGTTTCCTCACTGTGGATCAGTAGAGGGAGTCTGTTGTGTCATCATCCCATCCATCCAATCTGCAGAGATCTGCCTTCCCTCAGCTGCCTATGTTTCCGCATACCTTTCGTAGGGTGAAGCTCACTTTTTCTCCTCCTCTTTCCTATCCCTTCTCCCCTTGCGAGCTTAGTCAACCGTTGCGAGCTCGTGCCGACAGAAGGAAGACAGAGCGCAGCATGAATGACAGAATGACAGGTGCGTGTCGTGACGAAGAAGAACCCTTCATTCACTCATGTTGGTCACTTCCGTCTCCTGTTCTGTCCTTTGCAGGTCGAATGCCTTTCGGTGATGCGACACAAATGGCGGGCAAGCAACACCCGCAGCAGAGCCTGAACTGACCAGCGCAACTACACCTCGGCAGCCGCACCCCTTGTGTCAATCTTTGTCAAGCAGCGCTGCATGTGAGTGTGATGTCTGTGTCGACCGAGAAGGGCTACATCGGCCGCGAGTGGGCGGAGAAGTTTCGGCAGCGGGTGCAGGAGGACTCATGGGGGCAGCTCCTCGAAGCACAGGAGGGATACACTGAGTGAGTGAGTATCTGGGTTTTTATCACATCAGCATGTTTGCCTGTCTGTCTGTCTGTCTGCAGCCTGGCGAGCGTCATGGCGGCCAAGCAGGGACGCATCTATCTGACTTCAGAGGAACAGGTGACTGACAAAGAGAAGCAGGTCGGTGCGGCGCTTGCAAAGCATGTACGCGCCCGTGTGTGGGCCTGTCTCTCGCTGAATGGCTGGCTGCTGCAGGATTTGATGCATCGGCTGATCCTGTGTTTGAGTGCGAGGGCGCAGTCGCTGAGAACCATGAGAGAAATTGTCAGCCTGCAGGACATGAAGGCGCTCATTCCAGGTACCAGGCTGGCCACAAGCTCAGAGCTCTATGAATGCATGGGTATGGTGCCTCACTAAACTCACTTGTCGTCTCGGCTGCAGTGTTCGAGACGCTGTTCAGCAGCGACAAGGCGCCTTTCTCTGTCGAGCCACACAAGTATGCCAATGTGCAGCCTGTGCGGCCCAGTACGGCGTAAGCAACACGCGCAGTCCACACACCGTCCCGCAGCACTCTCTGTTCGCCTTGCTGCTGTCTGTGTCAGCGGTGAGATCATATGTGGTGACACGGACGAGCCGTATTCCGACTTCCAGCACGTATCTCAGGCGCTGCAGAAGGTGCAGGGCACCCTCGTGGCTATCAAGATTGACAAGATAGGCCTCAAGGACGCACAGACGTACATCAACCCATTCATGACCGTACTCATCGCAGGTCAGTCGGTGCACCAATGACGTGACTGACGTGTGTCGGCGTGTTGGGGGAAATTGGATGTGAAGTCTTTGGACGTGAAGTCTTTCCTGGCTGTTTTTTGTTGGCAACAGAGAACAAGAATCAGATTGTTCTGTCGAGTCACGATACGCCAGTGGCCACAGAGAGGTGCGCAGAGCATGCAGGTCTGCCCGAATCATTGCTGAATATCTATGTGTTTGCTGCCATTCGTCCAATGCCATTGCATTGCAGGACGGACGACTATGTGGTGTTTGGGTGCACTGTCTACCTGGGCCTTTCTCTCGAAGACATGCAGAGAAAAGGTGCGCCACGCATCGCATCCACTTGCACACACAATGCGCGCAGCAACCTGCGCACTTTCGTGTGTGGGGTCTTGTCCGTCCATGTGCAGACTGTTCTATCTTTTTCGAGTTCAAACACTACAAGCCGAAGAAACACAAAGTCTCCACCAGGTAGGTATGTGTGCCGATCGATGCCATACGTGTCTGCGCGTGATTGCACAACCATCCAACGCACTTAGCTGACTGTTCTCGGCGCAGTGAGAGTGTTCCCACGTTGTGCAACACAGAACCTGTTGGTTGCATTATGCCTGTCAGCCGATGGCTGTTCGGCCAGCAGGGTCGGGGCAATCGGACATCATGTCTTCCTTCCTTGCTCTCTGTGTGTATATGTATGTGGGTGACTCTGCAGGTGTTGGTCGCTGATGGAGATCAACGAGCTGAGACGGGACGAAGAGATTGTGCTGGAAATGTATGCGTCAACGAAGAGAATGAGATGCCACTGCTCCTCTCTCTCTCTCTCCTTGTGTGTGTTGCGTGTTCAGTTACCACAAGCCGACTGATCTGCGGAAAAAGAGAATACGGTTACACTCGGAGAAACAACTGTACCTCCATTTGGTCGCCACCTTCATCACCAAGTAGATAGAAGAGGGAGGGGCACACTCACTGCTGCTGCGCCGCTGCATGTCAGTCAGTCGGTTTGTGGGTTTGCATTGCACATTTGTGTGTGGGTGTGGGTGTTGGTGTACGCCTTGCTGGACCAGTGTAGAAGGGGGACGAGGGGGCTGGACAGACAGTGGTTGGCCATTTGCTGCCGTGTATGCATGCCATGGAAGAAGGACAGACGCTCTTTTCTCGGCTTATCACATATATATAGTGATGAATTGCTTGCGACCGACATAACAGCAGGCAGAAGAGAAGTCCAAAATCCCATTGATTGATTGTTTCCACGCCACAAACAAATATCACAATGCCATGGCCTACAGCACACGTCACACATTCGCCTTGGCAGCACTAGTTGCACTCTGTGCAGGACTGGGCGGCTTAGACGGGTCATTCAGCTCTGCCAGCTCCTGCCCCTCTTCCTCGCCCTCCATCTCACCCTCACTCTCGCTCTCCCCATAGTCGTCATAGATGCTATAGTACTCATTGCCCTTGCTGTCCTGTCTCCGGCGGACGACGCCGGTGGGGCAGCACATTGCCTTGATTGCGTCGAAACGAGCACCCGTGCAGGGCCGGCCCCAACATATGGACCGTGAAGATGCACGTGTGGAGGCTGGCTCTGCAATGCATAATGTGCGGCGAGACAGAGACAGAGAGAGAGAGACGTGGAGACGAATGGGGAGAGGAGACATGGATCGTGGCACCCACCTGCGATGCTCTTGCGCATCCTGTCGACTACATCCTGCAGCTCAGCGCAGCGTGTCTTGAGGTCCTCATTCTCCGCTCTCAGCCGGTCCCGGATATCGAAAACCTTTCCAAGGTCCGTCTGCTGTCGGCTGCATTCCGCCTGCAGTTCCGTCAGTGCGGCCCCGAGTCTGTCCGCCGGTGGAGCAGACGGATGCAGGGGAGAAGGCACACCTGCCGAGGACACAAAGACCTTGCAGCCTCTCCTGGCAACGGACAGAGGCGCAACGTTTGAGTGCAGTCCATGTGTGCGTCTCACTCCCCACCTTCTGCGCTGGTTCCCAGGGAGACAGAGTCGTGAGCATCGACGGCCGCCTTGGCCATTACAACATTCCTTTGTCGCAACACTGAAGGCAACATCATGTCTCAGCAGTGTGACATTGTTGTGGCGGCTCCTTTTCTCGCTGACCTTGGTTCTCTCTCTCGAGCTGATCGATCCGCTGCTGCAGGTCTCTGTTCTCACAGCTGAGCTCATCAAGAAAGACGCTCCCCCGGGCCATGACGCACGGAAACGTCGCGTGGGCGACTTGGACGCACTGCCCGATGGACTGTTGAGATCCAGAAACGAGTCGAGGGTAACCACGTCGGCACGGGTATCAGACCTGACAAAAGATAAAGGGACATTCAGGGGGCGCCAACTGTTGCCTGGCTTCAACTACCGTAACGCACTCTGGCTGGCTGCACTCGAGGACGAGGTCATCGTAATGCGTCTGCAGGGCAACGTTCTGGGCGCGAGTGTCCTCGAGAAGCCCCTGATACCAAGGAGAGAAGCAGCACTGGCGTGGTGTGTATATGTCTCGAGACATGCATGTTCGGTACCTTCATTTCCTCCAGGCTGTGATCCTTCTCCGCCAATGCAGCCTGCGTGTCCGCCAGCTGTCGTCTGAGCCCCTCACACTCAGCCTTCTTCTCAACCGCCTCCCGCTTCAAGGCCTGATGACGCTCCTCCAGGTCTCTGCACCCCTGCTGGAGAACACGCACCTGCTCCCTCAGGCTCTCTCTCTCGGTGAGGTTCTTGTGGAAGGACAGCAGCTTCTTCTTGTCGGCTGACACGGACACATCGCTCTGCGACTGGGCACTGGCGGCATGCCATTGGGTCGCCCTTCTGCTCGCTCTTCTCCTCTTCTTCTTGTCGATCCTGGAGTCAGGGCTCACTCGCTCGCCGACTCGGAACGACACGGTGACCCCACGTGCCAGTGGCGCGTCTGGAAGCTTGACAGACGACGTAGTGCCGGGCTCGGGGACGATCTCTTCCTCGACCCGTGCTCTTGGCTCTGGCGCTCTTGGGGGGCTCGTGTAAGAGTCTTGTGAGCTGTCAGTGTCATGGTCAGGGCTTTCACTGTCGTAGTCTTTTCTGCGGTTCCTGGTGCTGCGGCGGTAGTGGGGCGTCTTTCGAGCAGTGGGGGAGTGCGATGCGTCGCGTGAGCGGTCGACCTTCTTCTTGCGCAGGAAGACATACGGCTCGTGGGGATTGTGCATCATCTTGCAGAAGGTGCATGCGCGCCCCCACGCCCCCCAGCGGGGACAAAGCTCGCCTTCATCGGTTCCATTTTTTCCCTCTCCCCCTTTCCCCTTCCTCCTCGCTATGTCCCGATCAGCAATGTCGTTACGCAAGAAAACATCACGAAACTTCTCGCGTAAGCCATGAGAAGGAGGAGAACACTTCATGTGCAATGCAGCGTGATGGTTTTGTGCAGTCGTCGGGAAGGAGTTGGTGTTTGGTGGTCCACTTGACCATGCCCGCAGCCGCACACCGTCCCCTGAGGCACCCTCTTCGGCACGCCGTGGAGTGCCAAAGCCCCTGCCGACCCTCAGGCAAATCTCACCCCAAGCATATGAGCAACCACAGAAGACCCCGCACAGCAAAGAGGATGGCGTTCTGTTCAAAGACCAAGCAGGCATGCCGCTGGTTGAGAAGAGTCCAAAGCGGGATAGTCCGCCCAGATCGGCCCGGGCAGCCAAGCGTGAGACGCCTCGCTCAGATAATTTGGCGGAGGTGGTGCGGGTGACGACACTCAGGAAGAGCGATGCCAAGGGTGCAGAAGGAGGCGAGAGCAAGCAGAGGAGTCAAGCAACAGTGCAAGCTGAGGGTCCGGAGGAGGGCGCAATCGAGCCACCACTGGAGCCGGTCACCGAGGAGGAGGGGCTGGTACAAGAACTGATGCAAATCATCAAGGCGCAACACGAAAGGCACGCAACCAAGAGACACCACGCCTCACATAGTCGACACCTTCTCCCGTTCTCTCAGAATCGAGAAGCTGACCCGCAGATCACCTGTCTCGCGCAAACGATCTCGACCCCGACGAAAGGTCCCGTCACAACACCGACGGCTCAAGGACTGGGAGGCCAAGCTGCAGCTGCAGCAAGACACCGAGACAGAGCGGGAGGAAGAGCAGAAAGGGGATGCACTGCCGTCGTCGAGCCTCATGGAGGACATCGACGAGCGGATCAAAGCAAGCGATGTGGGGGAAATGAGACAGGCGGTTCGTGAGTTGACCAAGAAGCTGCAGCTACTGTCCGGCCAGGTCCGCAAACACAAAGTCGAGTCCGCCGCTCTCAAAGGTAGGCAGCGCAGACGGCTACTGACCACGTCTACCGCGGACAAGGATTGCTTTCCATTTTGCAGGCATCATCAAGAGGGCCAAGTTAGATGATCCGGAAGAGCTCCAGCGAGTCTTCGACGCCATCAAACGTGAGCAACATACAATCCTGTACCTGTTTACGACGACATCACGTGTGTCGTGACATCGGTGTTTCCGCAGGTCACTCTCGCCACGTGGCCCAGCTGCTGCCTGTCGACGCCCCGGCGTCTGTCCCGTCCAAGGCCCCCAATCCCCCCGGAGACATCCCCTTATCCAGCTCCCTGCCATGGCTGTCTCTCGAGCTGCCCAAAAGGGAAGAGCCGTCGTTGCATGTCAAGTTCAGCGCACCAGACATCTTCCCCATCAGCGGCGACCTGAAGGAGCAGGAGGCAGAGGACGCATCGCCCGGATCGGCGACCAACCTCACCACGGTCAGGAGTGCCACCAGTCAGCGCCTCAGCCCTCCCCCCTCTCCCACAGGAGGCCGCACTATGTCGGAGGACGAGAGCCCCTCCTCACCCACCCCTGAGAAACTTTCCCTCACCATCAGCAGGTCTGAGCCGCAGCTGAGGCACCAGAGTACCATCGCATTCAGGCGGCAGGGATCGGTGCTGCGGCGGCAGGAGTCGGGTGGACAAACCGAGAGAGGCGGGACGGGTGGGGCCCTCAGCGAGATGATTCTGCAGAGGACGACGCAGTTCGGCCAGGCCCTGAATCGGTCGCAGTCCTTCAAAGACGCGTTCCAGACCATTCTGGAGTCTGTCGGGAGCATCATGGGCCGCAGCTCTGTCGAAGGCACGCTGTATCTTATCCACGACAAGCTGCGGTGCGCCGTGGAGCCCCATCGGACGGCCGGTCATGATGTCGTCTACTACATGGACGGGCAGGACGGCAAGCTCCCGCTGCAGGTCTACCGGATCGTCAGCGACCTCGACAAGGAGCGGGAGAAGCAGTCGGCCGTCCTGGGGCACTCAGTCATCGAACCGCGCTTCTCCGACCTCTCCGCATCCCTCCCCTATGTGCGCGGTAACGTGATGGCCATCCCTTTGGTCGTTCGGCACATGAAAGGTGACCACCCTTCGGGCAAGGGCAAGCAGGAGTTGCGGCTCAAGCTGACTGGGAAGAAGCGCAAGAAGGGCCTCCTCAATGTTGGGGCTCCTCCTCCGGCGAAGGGTCTTCTGGCGGTGCTGCAGGTAATTGCCACTCCCTCGTCGCCCCTGCCTTGGAAGTCGCTGAATCGCATGATGACCATGGGCCCGGGGGGAGGAGGGGGAGGCGTCGACAAGGGTCAGACAAGAAGACACCCTATTCTGGTCTGATATCATCCGTTGGCTGGCATGCTCCTGCGTGCCTTCTTCTCAGACAGCAGTCCGATGAAGGGGCAGCTGAGCAGACAATCATCTTCTCGTTTCTCTGCATCATCACCCACCGGACACGTGAGGCGAGGATGGCGGAATGTTACACATTTGCATACACACATTTCATTTCTGTCCCTGGTGATTGCAGCAGGCTCCCTTCAGCCGGTCTGACCTGGGTGTGCTGGAGATGCAGGGGACCCTCATGAGCAACTGCCTCAGCCGCCTCGTGCAGAAGACAGTGCTTGAACAGTCACGAAAGAGGCTGGCTGAGTGCCTGGAGCTCGCGGCCCTCCTCGAGGCATCCACCACACTGGCCGACTTGGAAGAGACCGTAAGGATGGCTGATGCACGAGCCATGTCTCCTTTCATGCACATGGCTGGATTCCTCCCCGAAACATGCAGATCAAGCGGACCTTCGTGACGTTCTTTCGCGTCAAGCGTGTGCGCGTCCTGTTCTGGTATGACAGGGAGAACTGTCTCCTCCTGTCACCCGCCCAGCACTACTCAGCCCTCCTCCCATCAGCCGTCAACAAGCAGCGGCTCTCCTTCTTCGACATCGACCCCATGCTCGATGCGTCCACCAACCTGCCGGCACGGAGGCGGCCGCCACGGCTGGCCGCAGACAGGGGACTGATCGGTCAGGCTGTCAAGCGGAGAGAGATCATTCTGTCGAGTGACCTCACTCTCGATCCCTACCTGGACCCCACTGTGGATGGGGTGGCCAGGAGGGGCAAGTCCAGCCGTCATCGCGACGGCAACATGCTGCTGGGGCCGATGTTGTTTGAGGATATGAGGTCGCACGCGCAGCAGCAGCGACAGCAGCACAACGGGAGGAAGGATGCGGGGGACGACAAGAGTGGGAGGGAGGGGGATAAGGGCAAGGACAAAGGCGACAAGTCAGCGGAGACGGGACAGCCCAGATACATGCTCATTAGCCAGGGCAAGATCCAGCGGGTACGTTCGAAGGGGAAAAGGCGAGAGACGTCATGCAATGATGCATGCATCATGTCTCTTCCCCGCATGAGCTGCAGACCCGCCTTGTTGGTGTGATTCAGCTGATAGACAAGACGCAGTCGTCCTACCCCACGGCCCGTTCGCCCCCCTCCTCCCTCTCGCTCGACGCCGACCGCATCCCCAACGTGCCCTTCATCGAGGAGGACATCGAGTGCTTGGCCTACCTCCTTCCCATCTGCGCTGCCGTGGCATGGCGCATCTTCGAGATTGAAAAAGTCTCTGGCAAGCTGAGATCTGACCAGGAGGTGACGCTTGATCAGCTGCTGGCGGGCTGCCAGAGCCTGACTGAGGGGTCGACGGAGAAGAAAAGGAGGATATCGATTTCGATCAGTAGTGCAGACTCATCGCCGCGATGACGTGGACTCACTGGTTGATCCATCTACATGTCCGATGCGCACAGACACCCTGCATAAGGTGGCTCATCAATGGGAGTGGAAGGGAGGGAAGAAGCTTGCATGCGTCTCGAGACGCCCGACCCCCATGCTAGCCCCCACCCATCTCATCATGGACTCCCAGCAGCCAGAGCCGCAGGGTGTGTCCCCTTCTGGTGCACCAACCACCCTGACCAGGCCACAACAAGAGCAGCTCGATAAGGACAAAGTAAGTTCAAAGCCGAGGTCGTCACATACGGGCATGATTATCACATACGGGCCGTCTTCTGCGTGGCTCATTCCTTCCCATACATACGGTATAGGTCCGCATGCACATGCAGAACGAGCGGTACCTCCGCGCCCACCCCGAGCTGAAGCATCTGATCGGCACCTTCGTGCAGCAGACACTCGAGTACAAACCTGACAATCTCCTCGAGTTCGCAGGACGCTTCTTCACCAGGTAGGTACATGCATTAGTGGGCGATGAGATAGGCTCGGTGCACTGGAGACGTGTCCGTCCCTTTGTCAGGTCTGACTTGTATGCTATGGTCAAAGTGAAAAGCAAGGAGCTGATCCAAGCTTGAAGGGCCCCACCTGACTGACCAGGACACTCGTGTGTTGCATGGATGTCTCATTCGAACTGCATGTCTCGGCTGGGTGGGTGCTTCCGTACTCGTGATACAAGACGACGAGTATTGAAAGCTTTGAGCACACAAAACGGACCATGATACACAGATAGGGCTGCCAGTGGGATGAGGCGCGTCTTCATGCACATGCAGAGACAGACACGACAAGCACTACAGCGCACGAAATGGACGGATAATGGATCATCTGTCGGCAGAAGCAAGTGCTCTGTTACCGTGTCTATTATGCTACCCGAGGGCCCACTGCTCCCGCAACACATACAATACGACTGGGACGGTCACTGCTGTCCCACAAATTGCCAGCAGGATGGCCATGCGGTGCATTGGTTGCTGAGACGGACACAAAGCACGGACGACTTCAACATCACCTCACCAGACACAAACACAATGACTTGCCACGCCCGTACGTACCAGGAAGTCTTTGTGTTTTTCGATGAGTGTTTGGATCATGATCGTGCTGCTGCTCAGCTTACTCCCCAACCACTTCACACCCTGCAGACGGACAAAGAGACAGAGACACATCAATGACACGTTCGCATCTCTCCTGTCGACCCCCCACGTACCTCTTCGATCTTGCTTGACCTCCTCGACTTTGAGGGCTGGAATGCATGGTCTCCTCTTGCGCTGCCGTCCCGGGGCATTGACGACACGTCATCGAACGACTGGGACACTCCACCAGCCGATGAGAGGGCTTGACGCTCCTGTCTTGCCACGGCGACACAAACGACAATGGAGACAGGGCAAGTGTTTAATGCTTGTCGCTGCCCACCCTTCGTGCAGCCTGTCTCAGCGTCTTGAGCTCACGCTCCCTGCATGATGTGAAGACACGTGAACAAGGGTGGCTGTTTGTGGTGGGTGTTTCGAGGCAGGCCATTTCTCGCGTACTTCTCGTTCAAAAGCAGCTTCATCCTCTTGTACTTTGAGTGGAAGTCATTGTCCTCGGGGAAGTAGGAGATGTTCGATGCCTGCGAGGGAGGCCGCGACAGCTGACCACACACACAGACAGACACAGACACAGGCAAATGAATCAGACACATGTTTGTCTGTCACCTCTCTCCCGGCGTCTCACCTTAGCCGCGTCGAGCATCTTCTCCCCCTCATGCTCGGCAAAGCTGGCGTTTCTCATGTCCTCTGAGCGGATGCTGACCGTATCCAGCCTCCCCTGCTCATAGGCTGACTGGCAGGAGGCTGGGGACCACTCGCCGCCCCCCTCCTCATCCACAATGTCCGGCACATTCAGCTCACTGGGATGTACCGACGGCGCTCGCGGGGAGTCAATGGCCACAGGCGCTTCGATTGGCACGATCATGCTGTCAGTGCTAGCAGAGGGCCTGGCTGCGTGCACCTCTATCAGCCTCCTGAGCTTCTGTTCGTCCGATCCCTTCAGCTCAGCGACCTTCTCGCCTGAGGTTCCCCTGATCAGATGGAATGTGGGCAGCGTTCCGATGTCGAGGTCCTGTGCGAGTTGAGCCAGCTTGTCGACGTCGACCTTACAGAACGTGACGGTGGGGTACTCATGGCTGAGGGCCTCGAGCTTCGGCGGCGTTTGGTGGAAGGACTTCCCGAATTCGATGACGAGGAGAGATGCTTCTCCCTTGAGGGCATCCAAGGCACGCTCATCGGTGATGTGGATGATGCCGGGCATGGTTATCTGCTGCCAGTGCTGCTTTCAAAGCAAGTTCCTTTCGATTTTTCGCAGGTGGGGGCGATAAGGGGGCCGGAAGGTGAGACGGCCGTGAGACGGTTGGCTTCACAGATTGATTAGATATACAGATATGCACACGGTGTCTGCACAAGTATATGTAGAAGGCTCTAAACATAGGCCACAAAAAAGATCATCGTCAGGCGTCGACCCGACCCCAACACACATCGATCGCAAATGGACAGGGAGTCCCCCCAGGCGCCCTCATCCCTGTATGCACTCTCCAACAGGCACGAATGAAGCATATTGTACACCCTCAGCGGCACGAAATCAATCAGCCGAGTCTGGCTCGCGCAGAGAGCGCAAGCCAGACCCGACACATACATATGAATACACACACACTCGCACACGCAGGCACGAACACTCAGCTAAGCAGGGATAGGCACCATAAATGCATTAAATGCACGTGCACACTCATCGCTCACCTCCCGCCCCCGCTCACTCGCTCATTCTCTCTGGCTCACCAATTCTGTCTGTCTCGCATATACATACACACCGGACGGACACAGCAGATACATGGGTAGATAGATCCTCACGAATTTCTGTCTGGCTGCTATGTATGTAGCATCGTCATCACGAATTCATGTACTCAGCGAGCCGCCTCACGCCCTCTCTCATGTGCACCCCCCACCCGCCCTCCCCCTCGCACAGCTCATCCAGCCTGCCCCCCTCGATCTCCTTGTCCAGGTTCTCCTCCCGCCCCTCCAGCATACTCAGCGCCTTCTCGCCGTCCAAATCCACGAAGGCGAGTCTCGCCGTCCAGGGGTTGCTCGGGTACTCGCCGAACACACTGCCCGGCAGCAGCACCACACCCGTCTCCTTCTGCACTCGCGCGAAGACCTCCGCAGATGCCATGTCGTTGCCCTCTCTCTTCGCGCGGGGGCTCAGCGAGAAGTCAATGTACATGTAGAAGGCACCGTCGGGGGGCGGCGCGAGCGCAGAGGGGCACGCGTCCTTGAGGGTCTTCATGACCATCCGGGAGGTAAGACGCAAAATTTGCCGCTGCCGGAGGGCCAGCAGGTCAAGCTCGCGTGACGGCAGAAAGGCGCTCACACTCGCATGCTGGATCGGCGCCGACGCAGCCGAGTAGGTCTCGGACGCAGCCGCGCAGATGGCGTTCTTGACGGCCGAGAGGCCCTCTGGGAGGAAGGCATAGCCGAGGCGCCAGCCGCCAGCGCCGAATGCCTTGCTGATGCTGCTGGTGACGATGGTGCCCTCTGGGTAGTACTCCTCGATGGATGGGGGCCGGTGGGTGAAGAGCGACGTCGCCGACCCGCAGTAGTGTGTCGTGTGGGCGTACACCTACATGCAGCCAGACAGAACATATGTGTGTTGTGATGCTCTTGTTGCGACTGATATGGCGGTCGGCGTACCGTACCTCGTCGCTGATGACCAGGACCTTGTGCTTCCGGCACACAGCAGCGATGGCCTGCAGCTGAGCAGGGGAGGCGCTGCACCCACTGCACGTCCACAAACGGACACACACAAGTGTAACGCGTCGCCCCCGCCGTCATCTCATTTGCTCACGTGGGGTTGTTTGGGTAGTTGAGGATCAAAACCTTGCCGATCTTGCTTGTGCTGAAGGCCATGTCAAGGGCGTGTGACGACGGGACGAAACGGTCAACCAGTCGCGTCTTGACCCAGTGCACGTGGTGGTCGGACATCATGGCTTGGGGGAAGTAGCTCACCCACGAGGGCACCGGCAGGAAGACCGTCGCAGGAGGGTACACGGCAAACAGGCTCAGAAAAAGGAGCTCCTGTTGGGGAAGGAAACACACAGCAGACATCGACAAGGCAGTGCCACCAACACTCTTTGTCTTTGTGACACACGGTGCTGACCTTGCTGCCTGGCCCAATGATCACATCCTCCATCGGGCGGCCGTGCGCCGCACCGATGGCCTCTCGCAGCTTGGGCAGGCCCATCACCGGCAGGTAGCTGTTCTGATGCACGTTCTGACGCAGCGACTCCTGAAGCACTGCACCCACCATGAAGCATGACACATCAGACGTGTGCTGCTGCGTGGCTGCCTCGTCTCCTGCTGACCTCGGGGCACAGAGAACGGGCTTTTGCCAAAACTGAAGCGGAACAGCTGCTGTGAAGATGCGCTCGTGCTGTCATTCTGGTTGACACACAAGCCGCACGAGCCAATGCACTCGGTAGGCACTCACAAAACCAGAGCTCTGTGCCTACCTGCGCTTTCTGTATGAGCTCGTTGGCCTCAAGCGTCGGTGAGATGCCCGTAGCCGCGAGGCACGCTCGGATGTTGACACGCGGCGGCTGAAGGGCACGACTCAGCCTGTCGACGTGGCCGAACACCCGAGGAGGCTTCATGCCCTGCCAGTCACAGCCCAAAACTCCGTCTCCGGCACCGCGAGCTAAACCCTTCGGCGAGCAGTTTCACGCAATGTCCTAATTAGACCCTTTTGCGACTCGCACACGAGAAGGGTGGTCGAGCGGCTGCATCCTCCATCTGTCTGTTACATCTGTCGCGAAGATGCCGGTCTTCGACTCGGGCATGTCCAAACCCGGTCCCTACCGGAAGCTGCAGCAAAAGATCCTGTTTGCGTACGCCATGACGATGTTCATGATGCCGTCGCTGATGGTCTACTTCGGCGCCTCGTCAGAAATGCTCAACTTCTTCAGGGAGTACTACAAACCCATCGAGTTCCCGCCCCAAGCCGACCCGACCATCGTCAAAGACGTCTTCCACGGCCGCAAGGCAATCGCCAAAGGCATCCCGGGGGTGAGCAAAGTGAGGGAGGATGACTGACCGCAGGCAGCTGATGCTCGCGGTCACTTGCCGGGGGTGTGTGTGTGGGTGCGTGCTTTGTTCCTGCAGGCTGCTGGGGATTCGTTCTGATGGGATGATGGATGAGGGCGGGAGTGCACTGTGTGCTTGTGTCTGCCTACTGCCGTTTTGAAGAAGAGCTTTTTCGTGGTCTGTAGAGTGTGTGTGCCATACTAGCTGCAGTGACTGACTCTCTGCGTGTGTGAGAGACCTCATTCGATGAGCATAAAGCAGCATCATGAGCGTCACATAAACGAGTCAGTCACACGCACCGCGACATTGGTGCAAACACGGTCGGCTTCCTGGGCGGACACACAAAACGGTCTATCGAAAAAAAGGCCATGTAATCCATCTTCACATGCGGACGCAGGCTGCCGGTGACAGAGCGGCTGCTTCTCATTATATCTGCCGTGACAGTTTGAGTCCGTGCTTCTGATAACCATCCTCCGGCCAGCCGACCAATCAGTGATACTCATTAACTGCAGATTGCCCAATTGGTTTCGCACCATTGCCAGCTACACCTTCACACATAAAGTGACACACACACACACGCAGATGGCAGTCACAGGCATATTAGCGGTGCACAAAAAGGCCGCCACCAAACTCACCTTAAGCAGTGATCCACCGTCGGTCGTGCGTGCGCCTCTACTGGGCGTCCTGGGCCGTGGCGTCCGCCTCGTTTGTCCTGACCCTCACCTGTACTGCACACGAAACCATCGGATAGCATCAATTCAGCAAAGCCCATCCTTAAAGTCTCTTGTTTGTCGTTTCCCGTGTTGCACCGCACCCATTGGGAGCAGGGGGTTGAGCGAGACCAATTCGACGTAGGCCACAATGGGGCTGTCGAGCGCCGTGATGAGGAGGTCGCGTACTTCTGAGTATGCCCCAGCGGCTTCTTGCGTGTAGGCCGTCACAGCGTAGGCGTTTTCGGGTGGGTTGTGCACCGAGACCGCGAGCATGTTGCCCAGCCGATTACCATTAACACGCCTGTGCACACACACATCCGCACTCACAGCGGGAAGAATGGGATGGATGTGTACCAACGTCACGTCCATGGATCAGATGACTGACCGGTCCACCCATGCGTCGGTCGACTGCGCGAGGCCCTCTCTCGATGGGTCGAGGATCTTGTTCATGATGAATGACAAGGCCGAGGCCTCGACGCGCGCTCCGCCTGCCACCCATCCGCCGCCCTCTGTGGTGAAGCCGATGCGGTGCTCGATGGGCGGGTTGTCGTTGTGGACGTGCGCCTGAAATGGGTGGCCGCCTGGGAGGGTGGGGTGGAGAGTCAGCTCGTATCCCGGCTCGTCCTTGATGGCATGCATGCGGCTTCCGGGCGCATCAAACAGCTCAAAACGACCCAGGTCTCCACCGAACTCGACGTGTCTGCCGATCATCTTCCAGAAAGCAACCACACGGGGCTCAGCCAGATACGCCTGCACCAACAAACACACACCTTCACCCATTGCTCCTTGCGCAGTTCTCCTGTGTCCTATTCACCTGTTTGGTGGTGTGTCTTTGTAGATCCTGCCCTGCGATGGTGACCGGTAGGTGGCAGCGGCCCAGCTGCACCGCCAACTTCAGCGCGCTGACCACCTCGGTCCACTGCTGCGTGTCCACCAGCCAGATGGCCTTGAGCAGCAGAGGGCTCTCCAGCTGAGCGTCGAAGGCGATGATGGTGTGCAGTCCCTTGGCCGCCAGGCAGCGGCCCAGGCGATTGCGCAGGACGGCAGCCGAGAAGTCGACTTGCGCGAGGAAGTTGGCCGTAGATCTGAGGCTGCCGACGTCGGGAAGAGTGTGGAGCGCATCTCTGCCGAGGGCGTGTATGAAATCGATATATTGGTTGTTCAACACCGGAGAGCCATCCTGCCGGCTGCGAACGACCACCATGTTACCCATTTGCTTCCCCAGAGGGCGCGTTCAGCCTTGCGCGCTCGAGCTGGAGGGGGCTTTGGGGGTCCTCGCGTCTCACAGCTGTTCGCGGAAAAAGCTTCGCACGTGTCTATTCGGGATGACGGAACGACAAGAGACTGGACGGCTGCCAGTGGAGCCTTACAAACGCGACTCCCACTCCCTTCCTGCCGAGCATCCACCTCGGCAGCTACTGCACCATCCTGTGACTGGGACGCTCTGGGGCCCCCTCGACGGTTCGAAGCATCGGACCGCTCCTGAGGAGCAAGTCAACCGGCAAAGGGCGGAGCGAGAATTTCGCCGAGAAAGGAGGCAGCAAAAGAAGCTGGGTACGAATGCATGCATGGATCCACACGCGGCATCCCATGCAGTCCTTGCACTGTATGTCTTGTCGTCTGCGTAGAGGAGAGGCTGGCTTCGAAGCCGGAGCTTGCTGAGGGACAGGCGCAGCCACTCGCAAAACTCATGACTGGTGTGGCTCTTGAATCGTTTTCATGACGTTATGAAGGAGACATGCGTGTATTTGTGTATGTTTCCAGATGTCATTGGCCGCAGAGCCGACTGGGACGATGAGTCGTCCGACCCGACGAAGCCACCGGCGGAGGATGAGCCGCCTACACATGCCCCCCAAGAGCTGTCTCTTCGCCCCCTGTCTGCGCCAGCCACTCAACAACCGATACCAGCAACCGACTTGCGGCCAACCCCTCTGCAGCTCCCGTCCCCGCCCCGTTCCATGGCGCCAGCGTCTGACTCATCTAAGTGGCCTTTTGACCATGGTCTGCATGGGCTGCCGAGACGTCGAGAAGGGGCTGAGAGGGCCGTGATCAACCCCGACACCGGCAGCGAGTTTGAATATGATCGTCTCCCGCCCTCACCCGTTAGAAGGGACGAGGCGGAGCGTGCACGAATCAATGAGGAACGGATTCGTGCACGATTGGGAGCGTTCTATGCCGAGGTCAGCCAGATGGCAGAGGATCTCATCCTGAATTCGTGGGGAGTCTCTGAGGAGGGAGAGGAAGGCGAGAACGGTGTGTAGAGCTGACCTTTGGGACTTGATGTATTCGGGTGTGAGTATGACTGATTGGATGACTTATGGTAGTGCCGCAGCTTTTTTGGGGCGGCGACTGCTTCCAGCCTTCATTTGTGCAGCCTGCTGTATATCAGATATACACATGGACACGGGCTACCGGCTACCTGCGTGCTGCTGTGAGTGTGTGCCGGTGGTCGCACTCGTTCGTCAGACTCTCTGTCTGTATCTCTATGGACTTATTCGCCGTTCACACATTCACTCAAACATTTATGCAGCCGCACATTCAGCGAGGCGGTGGCAGATCTATCGCCCACACCTGCACCACAGAAGGCCCCCTCGGTGTCGCATGTGGTGCATTTCAAGGTGCGTCTACGCACTGTGTGGTGCAGGTACAGGGCAGACAGACAGACAGACAGACAGACAGAGCGAAGGAACGGAGAGACACAGACGAGGCAGACAGAGACATCTCTTTCTTCACGTGTGTGTCTCTCTGTGTGTCTCTGTCACGGATGACATTTTGTCGCCGTCTTCAGTGCCGGTTCGTCTGCTGGGCCGCAGGGACGGCGAGACAAATGGCGGCATGTGCACCGGTGGCGGCGACTGGCGAGACAAACAGCTGCCGGCGCTCTACGTCGACCTGATCGAGAAGATACGGTGGACGCCGCGGCCTCTCGGACTGGTCGAGACACATAGACACACAGACTGATAGACAGTCAGACAGACAGACAGACAGACAGACAGAGGGAGGCGAAAGGCATGTGTCTGATGTGTGTCGTGTGTGCTCGTGTAGGTTGTGATATTGAGTGCTGCTGAGGAGAGCCGGCTGACACTGTCGGCGGAGAAACGGCAACAGCCACAGGGCCCCACAGCACCAGCCACCCATCAGATGATGCACAGCAAGACCAGGACTCATTAATCGATGAGGGCATCAAACTCTTTCGACGACCAACAGGCGAAAGACACCACACAAGCTAACCCCTGTCTGTCTGTCCGTCTGTCTGTGTATGTCACTTTGGTGGTGATGCCCCGCCCGAGCAACAAGCGCCCACGCATGGCCAACCACCGACAGACAAGCGACAGCAGCAAGGACACCGACAGCGAGGAAGAGAGGCAGGATAGCATCATGGACACACCGCAGTAGACCACATGACACAATGGATAGTCAGGCATGCCAGGCAGCAGCAAGAGAGAGAGAGGCAGTTGTGTCTCAGTCGCCTGCCAGACTGACACGAGACACACACGACACACACCATACCAGCTCTCTCTCTGTGTCTTTCTGTGTAGCTCTGCCCACTGCGTGCCGACACTGACTGATTGAGAATTCATCTTGACGATAGACACAGACAACCGACGAGGCGTACGTGTTGGTTGTCTGTGTCCTTGGATGGATGGATGAATGATGATGTGTGGGGATCAATGAATGATGATGATCTCGCGAATGCACGTATGTTCCTGTGCGCCATGTATGCAGGATCTGCGAGCTCGGAATGGGGGCCTGTGGGGGCTTCAGGTGAGACTCCGGACAGTAGGATAGAGGAATTTAAGAGTTTCGCGCACGGTGGTTTCGGTACCATTATGTTGTCACTGATGGAAAAAGAAGAGAGCGGGGGACATCTGGCGACGAATGCCGCCCTTCAGTCCTCATCAGCAGCTCAACAACCGGCAAGCGACCTGCCAGCAACCCCAGCGTCATCCGAGTGGCGTTTTGACCGTGGTCTGCATCGGCTGCCGACACGGGGGCTGGAAGGGCCCCGATCAACCCCGACATCCTATCGGACGATGAGTTGAGACGGAGATACCCCGGGAAGATCATCATTCCCCAAGGGAAGCTGCTGGTGCATCCTTGTACTGGGATGCCATGGGACCCCTTCAATAATCCGGACGCAGGCCTCTCAGGACCAACTCGAGCGGCACGAGAGGGTGGAGCGAGAGGAGCGGCAGCAAAAGAAGCTGGGTACGCGCGCAAGTATCCAGACGCAGCGTCTCATCATATTGACTCTCATGCAGTCCTTGTGCATGGCGTTTGCTGGCATGTGCTTAGAGGAGAGGCTGGCTTCGAACCCGGAACTTGATGAGGGAGAGGCGCATCGACTCGCAAAACTCATGACAGGTGCGTGTGTGCATGCACGGATGATGCGCAATGACGACGTTCGTGCGCGGGGGTGGCTATGCCGTTTCTGTCAGAGCGGATGCGAACCTACGTAGGCCGCAAAAAGGTGGAGGAGCTGGCTTCGGATTGCTCTGAAGGTGCGTAAGGACTCACAATCCAAGTACTGCATGTGTCTCTCCCTGCTTGTGCGTACGTGTGTGAATTGCAGAGGTCGGTGTCACGAGAGATCCATGGCCAACTATCACCCCACCTCTTCCCTCGACCCCCGTGTCCTCATCATCCTCATCACCGCTGCTGTATGCCAGCACGCCACTCGACAGCCCCTCGGCTTCGGGAGCCTCCACGCCCCGCCTGCTTGGGCACCCTCGCACATCAGTGGGCTGCTGTTGGCCTGCACCGCCGCCAACCAACGGCCAGGAGGAGCGCGTGTCGGCCCCTCGACCGCAGCATGGATGGGAGGAGAGAATCGATGCGGGGAGGCGAAGGGTGAGTGAGGAGCGATGAGGACGGTCTTCTTGCTGTGGGGTACTTGTTGGGCAGCAAAGGGCTATTTTTGGCCACCCGTGTGTGGCCGCGCCCGCTCGTGTGTGGCGTTCTTGTTTTTCTGTGCTTGATTGTTTTTCCCTTCCTAGGGCTTTTCGTACTGTCACCACCTCCCTGTGTTCTTCTCGTTAGTTTCCCGGAGGCACCTGTTTGTCTTGTGTTTTGGTATCGCTTTCTTGCTGCAAGTGCTCGCCTCCCTATGTGTGTCTCGTTCTTTCTATGTTTCCTTCGCACTTTCCCTTTTTGGTGGCCTGCTGTCTTGCTCCGCTGTCGAGGTGAGTGGCGAGCAAAGACCACGTGTCGCATTGATATGCCTCATTGCTCTGTTAGGCAGCGACGTGTGTGGGCAGCATCGCCGCTCGTTCTCGTGTGTGGCGTCCCTGTTTCTCTGATGGTCCAGTGATGTTGTACGTGGAGACAACTGCCTTCTTGTCTGTCTCTTCTTCTTGCTGGGGCTCTCTTGCTGTCAGCGCCTCCCTGTCTTCGTCTCTTCCTTTCTTCCTTTCTTACTTACTTATCCGGTTGGCTGCTGTCTTTCTCTGGCCGTTCTTCCTTGCTTTGTCGCGGTGGGTGTCTTTTTCTTCGCGTGGCTCCACTGGCCAGCCATGTCCAAGTCGCATTCTTTGCCTTCATCCATCTCGTAAACAATTAAGCAGACCGCAAGCATAGCAGGCTTTTGACGCGTCGATTGTTGTTGTATGTTTGTGTCCTCGCATGTGTGTTTCAGAGGACGGACGGACTCACCGACCGACCGACCGACTGGCAACAAACACCAAACACCCAACGGATGGCGATGAAAGGTAGAATGCCTCTGCTAGACATTTCCCTTCATCAGTGTATGTGTCGCTGTGTGTGTCAGGATGACACGTTGCTGCCGAATGCCGACCGAGTACGATGAGTCTCTTGCCGCACATATGACACACGTGTCAGACATGAGTGTGTGGCTGCCAGAGATCAATCGTTCCTTTCTTTGTGTGCAGGAAACGTTGACCTGCAGGCGGCTCAACGGACAACAGTACAACCAGCACAAAAACCTCGATAGAGCACGACTTTGGGCATCGAGAGACTCGCCGCAGACGCAACCACGTGACGCCCTCCCCCAGCCGCGCCGCCAACAATCGCAGCCGTCGCCGCCCCACCAACATGTACCTCGCACGCACCAGGTGCCCAAGCACCAACCACACAGCAAGCGATTGCGACCATCATGTCTCTGGATCAGTACGGGATTGCCAGAGACATGACTGCGTTTTCATTGAGAATCAAAGCCTACGCGACCCCCACTCGGTAAGGACCAGGAAAAAGCACTCAAATATGTTCGGCACGTAGTCAACCTGCATATGTGCCTATCAGGTGAGATCTAAGTCACGGGTGACGCGTGTGGATCGTTTAAGGCCGCGGGACACATGTCTGAGCTGCGAGGACACTCGCACACTTGGACACAGCAAGGATCGGCCGGGCGAGACAAGCGTATCGAATTGCTCGAATTTTCGTGAGCCTTGTGACCTTTGTACTGCATTTTTGTGACCTTGTGACCTTTGTACGGCTAAGAATTATGACCCACGGTGCATGTTAACGTTCTGCATGATACAAGGGCAGTGGGGTCATTAATATTTGAGTGCTAAGTGGCAACCACATACACACACATACAGTCTAGATCTGTCCAGCCAGGTGGCTCTCAGTTTCTCAGCGACAAGCATGCCAGCCGGTCGTCAGCGGCATCGAGGCCCAGGGATGCAGCCTCTAACTGCAGTTCGTTGTTGAACTTGGCGATGTACTCGGACAACCTGTCCCACCACGATGACTGCGCCAGACGGGGTGGGAGGATGGGCTGGCCGACTTTGGCCGCCACTGCAAAGAAACACAAAAACTGTATCATCGATATTGTGTGGGAAGACATGACATCTGTCTCACGCCCAGATATCCAGTCTTCAAACCGAGCCCGCAGCTTCGGACACCGGATTGTAGCCGCCTCCCTTCACACAAACTGATCGATGAGCATACATGACTACTGGCTAATTCATTTCATCCACATTACTGCTTGGCGGCGCCCAGTGTGCGTCGACAAAGGCGGATGTCTTTGAAGTAGGCATAGTAGTGGATGGCAAAGCACCGCCATGCGTGCGGGACGACCCAATCGACCTGAAGACACACATTCATAGACACACGATGCCATGAAGCACACGTACACACTCAGAGGCACACGTATGCCGGCCGCAGAGCTCTCTCTCTCTCTATGTGTGTGTGTGTGTGTGTGCCTGTACCTCGATTGACTGTTGCCGACTCAAGATCCGAATGAGGGCGTACTCCTGACAGGCTCTGTGTTGTCGGCGGGTGAAGTCGTCTGCCTCAGTCGTCTGGAAACGGTTGGCCCTCACGGCCACTGATCGAACAGACAAAGCGTCGGTAGATATGCAGCGGCTTCATGGCGAGCTGACCTACGAGCAGTGTCGCCACGGCCCACTGGTTGACGTGTTCTGATCCGGCCAGTGACTCCTCCGCCTGATACAAACACAAAGGGTTAATCAGAGACGAACGTGAGTGCTTGGTTGCCTGCAGGAAAACGCTTTACCTCTGCCAGAAACTCGACATCCTTGTCCTCGCTGATGAATTCCAACGCATCGCGATGATATAACACTTGCATATATGCCAGCATTGCATCTCGAGGCCTGCATGCACACACACACACACACACAAATTGAGCAGCACGAAGGTGTTGGTTGTCTATCATCCGATGGTCTTACGTGCGCTTTTGACCAAGCCGCTTCAACATGGCTGCCTCCCACGGACTGCTGGTGTCGCTTGACTCGCTTTCCGCCGATTTCTGGGATAACGCAGCAAGGAGAAACGATGAGAAGAGACAGCGACACTGCCGGCGGAAAGGCTGACCACATGCAGCAGGTAGGCTCTCCGCATGGCCTCATCGACACGCCCGGCCAGCAACGATGCGATGTATGCGAGCGGCGCCTCTCCGGCATCGGCTAGCGACGGGAAGGACGCTGCAACCAACACAAAAATAATGTAACGTAGGTATGTATAGTCTGTTCCTGCTGGTTTTCTCATTCTCTCTTTCCTGGTCCGACAATGGCCCGCACGTCCTCATATCGCCGCATCACGAAGAAGGGCCATGCAAGACGGCGTGCCTTGTACCGCCTCAGCTGTGGCAGCAGATCTCCTCGGTCCCTGCTGGCACCGGCCCACATCGACTCGCTGAACGACACCAAAATGAAGACGCGACAGCAGGCAGTAGCACCGCATTCATCCACTTGCTCCTGCGTACCTGCGCACTTCAGAGGTCATGATGTCGACGGCCTGTTGATAGTCGTGCTTGCGGTCACTGCATACAGACAACAAGGTTTTATGATGAGTGATGATCGAGCGCCCCTCCACTCACGCGTTGTCAAAGCGGAGGTAGGCTCTGATGAGCGGCGGGAGCCTTGCCTGCAGCAACCATATACATATACGCAGCAGACATCAGGTCAAATGGATGTGTCTTGACTGACTACGAGTGCGTCCAGCTGACCAGCACGTCCTCATCTCTGCACAATTTGCGGCTCTCAACATAATGCGCGACCACCGGCCCAACCCCCAAATGGCGGTGCGGACTGTCGTTGCTAAGACCGTCACTCGCCTGAGCAAAAAGGAGAAGGGGCATCAGTGGCGAGACGACCACCCACGTGACATCCTCTCACCTGTCGCAGCAGACTGCACCCCCTTTGTGGGTCGGCCGGCACCGACAGCTTTGTCGACAGTGCCATTCGTATCCCCCAATCTGCCAATCTTGCGCCCAAGTCCACCAATCCTGCCAATGCTGCGGAGAATGGTGAGGTGGTGGTGGTGGTGGTGGTGGCCCCTCTCCCACTCGATCTCGCTCCATAGCTGCTGGCGGTGGCCGCAGCTGACGCCGATTTGCCGCTCGTCCGCGGCTCAGTGTGGGCAGTGTCGCCGGTGCTGCTGCTGGTGTTGCGGTCGGTGACCATCTGGATGATTCCGACCAAGCAGAGAAGGAAACCTGAGGAAAGGAGAGAGGAGAACCACTGTTGTTCCCGTGGACAATTTGTGGCCATCGAAGTCCAAACTGACCTTCTGTGAAAAGGGCGCTGTTTGTCAGGTCAGCCTCCATCCGCTGCCACGCGGCCGAGCGCTGAGCTGGCACGGGAACGCTGACACAGACAGACAGACACACAAACAGACAGACAGACAGACAGACAGGCAGACAGGCGGACAGCAGACGGGCTGTTCGTTCCCTGCATCCTTGTCTGGCGCATTCGATCTCCTTCGTACCTGCTTTTTGCTGGCGAAGGGGGTCGGCTCCGGCGCAGGTGTCTGCGGGCTTCTTGGATGTCTGTCAGCACCTGCCCTGCCCCGGTCTTCTTGGCGGCCATCTCCTTTACCAGCGGCATTAAATAGTCATCTGCACCAGAGAACACAAGAAGCATCTTTGGCATCTCTGCAAGGCTGTCCGACATCCTGTCCTAACACGACATCCTCTGGACGTCGAAGATAAAGTCTGTCTTGAGGGCCGCAATGAGTAGAGGGATGAAAGTCGCCTCAGCTAGCAATAGTCTGCTCATGGCCAACACCTGACCAGCCGCACACACAACATAAGCACAACCTTCGGCCTCTTCTTTTCTTACGCGCTTGGCGGTTGCTGGCTGCTCCTTGTGTTTGGCGGCCGTCTTCTCCCACTGAAGATGCCCACCACAAGTAGAGGACACCCCCGTTCGTGTGTCGTGTGTGAGAGGTGTGTGTGAGTGTGTCTGTGTGTATCCATTCATTTGCCCACCTGCTCTGCGAGGTGCAGGCATCGGCTACAATACTCCCGGGCACGATCAAAATAGCCGAAATCAAGCCGCGTCAGCCCTCTGAACAACAATACACGGATGAGAAACGTCCAGCCTCCTGGAGAAACCTACAGTGCGAAGGCCGCCTGAGCGAACAGAAGTGCCGTGTATGGACAGGTGCAGGATGGCGGATCAGGCCACTCCGACGGCTCCCTTCCATGAGCGTACACTTCTTTCAAACCTGTACACAGGAAGAAGGTCACGCACACATATTGATCGTCAGATCTCTCCGCTTACACTGTCGTGCTTGGTCAGCACAGCTATCTACTTCGGGCAGACGCGCCATATCTGTGTCTTCAACTCTCCACGCGATGAATCCAACCACAGAAGACGCAGCCCCCCCCAGCCCCCGAAGCTCGCAAGGGTACCGCAAGATCCCGCAGCATCTGCCGAGATCTGCAGAAGAAATGACGCTATGAAGCTGGTGAGTGACCGTCACCAGTGCATACGACGCCAGACACGATGACATTCTCTCGTTATCTCTGCGTGTGCGTCCATGCAGAGGCGAGGGAAGGGGAAGGCAAAGATTGCCATCGGTGAGAGTGATAGGGACACAGGAAATGGATGGATGATAGGATGAATTAGTGATCATGAATGGCCTGTGCTGTGCTGCTGTGTGAGTGTCGCAGATCTGCAGCATCTCTGCTCACGTGCATTGGGATCACAGCTGCTGTGCTGTACTTGTGTGTGGACCACTTGACGAGTGACATCCCCGCCGCCGCCCGAAAGCATGCCGCAAGCCAGGCTCGAGGACTCCAATATTGCCCTGCTCTCCTCGTGGGCGACTGAAATGAGTCTATCTGCCTCGTTTTATCGCTGAATGATGTTGCATGTGTGCAGTGATCTGGCGCTCGAGGTCCGCAAGGCATCTGCAGAAGCAGAACCCGCCTTCGATGGCGCAGGTGCGTATGTGTCACATACACACATGCATTCGTTCACACAGAGAGAGAGGCCTCCTCTCTATGTGTGAGACCGACCGCATGGTGCGGTGCTGCAGGCGAGAAGGAGGGCGTCGAGATCTGGCGTGTGGAGAAGCTCAAGATCGTCCGCTGGCCCAGAGAGCAGTACGGCAGCTTCTTTGACGGGGACGCTTACATCGTCCTGCACTCATACAAAAAGAAAGGTATACACAGCGTCGTGGCACAGCACACACATCGATCGCACTCCTGCTGCTGGCAGGTGGGGACAAGATGCTGTACAACGTTCACTTCTGGATCGGCGTGGGCGCCTCGCAGGACGAAGCCGCCGGTGCGTGTCGATTGACGGATGCCACGCAGACAGACACATGCACTCGACTGCTGTCTTGTATATATCTGATTTATGACATGCTTCTTCCAGTGGCGGCGTACAAGACGGTGGAACTTGACGACCGCCTCGGCCAGCTGCCCGTGCAGTTCCGTCAGGTCCGTTGTCTGTCGCCATCATCCACACACAACACTCGGCTCGCATTGTGTATGTTCAGGTGCAGGACCACGAGACGGACGAGTTCCTCGACCTGTTCCAGCCGTCGATGATGGTCATGAGCGGCGGTGTGGAATCGGGATTCACCAAGGTGGAGCCCACTGCTTACAAGGTGGGTGCGTGGGCGGCCGTCGGGCGTACTCGTCCTGTCTGTATGTGTTTCGTTGATGTCTGTCTGTCTGTCTGCAGCCGCGTCTGTTGCACGTGAAGGGTCAGCGAAAGGCGATGCGTGTGCGGCAGGTCCCTCTCACCCGCGACTCGATCAACGACGGAGACGTGTACGCACGCACCCCACCCCATTCCACCACACGGACACACTTACTCACTCGCCGTGGATCTGCGTCCGTCCGTTTATCTCATCTTTTAGGTACGTTTTGGACGCCGGCCTGTCGCTTTACCAGTGGAACGGCACCGCTGCTGGCGTGTTTGAGAAGCGGAAGGGCAACGAGGTGGGTGGGATCTCACTTCAAGCATGAATTGAATGCAGAGCCACCTACTTGTGCCTGGTTTTGTCTAACCAGGTGGCGACGGCCATTCGTGCAGACCGGCAGGGGCGTCCCAGGTTTCAAGTGCTTGACGGCCAGGAGTCTTGTCCCGAGTTCTGGGACCTGCTCGGCGGGATGGGCCCTGTCAAGGCCGCTGACGAAGGTAGGCGCCACACACACACACAACTCACACACGCGCGCACACGCATTTGCGCTCAAGCATTCTCTCCGAGCCAAATGTGTCAGGTGGTGCCGACTCGGAAGTCTTGACGAGCCCCAAGAGGATGCTGCGCCTGAGTGACGCCAGCGGCACGCTGACCATGACCGTATGTCACCGCTCGCCTGTGTGTCTGGCTTGGTGTGCCCACTGAATGTGGTGTGGTGTGGTGTGATTTGTTTGGCAGGTGGTGTCGAGCGGCAAGATCTCCAAGTCTGATTTGGACACTGCGGACACCTTCCTGGTCGACAATGGAGGCGTCAGCCTGTTCGTGTGGATCGGCAATGGCGCCAGCAGGTACGCACTGGCTCACACATCCACACGACACACACATACAGACAGACAGACAGACAGACAGGCACACGCACGATGGATCTCGAGACGGTGATGGCATCCGTCTGTCTGTCTGTCTGTCTGTGTGTCTCTCCATTCCATCGTGCGCTTGGTGCAGGGACGAACGTGCCAAGGCGTTTCAGTACGCCAACCAGTACATCGTCGACAATAATCTGCCGCTCACTATCCCTGTGTCACGCGTCACCGAGGGCAACACGTCCGCCGCATTTGAAAAGGCCTTCGAGGAGTGATGAGGGCCGGCTTTTTCCAGACGGCATTGCCAAAGTGCTGCCGTCGGGCCTTGAGGTTTTGTAGATAGCTGTCGCTGTGATGTGTGTGTGTTGACATGCCCTTCCTTTGTGGCTGGCATGGCAATGGTTTGGATCAACGGTTGCGATATGCACGGATTGTGTCGTCATCAATCACTCAATTGCACTTGAGAGGCTCATCGATCGGCACTGTCTTTCACTTCACGTGCATGCTCAAATGCGATTCAAACACACACACACGGGCAGAGTGGCGCATGCACCCTCACCCATACCATCCCCCAACCGAGACACCCCTTCCAGCACCCACTGCACACGAACACACAAGTGTGACACCCAATTATACACTATGCATAGCTTATGAATAGATGGATGGACACATAAACTCCTCTCCACACCTCCCTCCCTCCTTGTTATGTATGTGTGTCAATAGACAGACAGACAGGAGTAGTGGGTGGAAGCAAGCGGTGAGGTGCGGTATAGGCAATGCAATGCAGTCAGTGTCCAGACCGACAAAAACGGTGTGGCAACAATGGCATGCATAAAAGGACACGGAACGAAGACATCGATGGTGCGATGCCTGCACGACCGCGTGGGACAGAAAACTGTGTCGCGTTTGAAAGACTTGCCAGCCCTCCCACCAACCCACTCACCCACCCCTCCATACACACATTTTTCACTGCATCACGGCAGGCAGATCGATCTCCAATTGGTGCCTTTTCTCAGGAATGGTGCCTTTTCTCAGGAAAGTCAGTCGTTCTGAGAAAGCGGCATTGGTTCCATTCCAAAGGCATGGCATTCATGATTTAGATAGCTAGCGTACAACGAGCAACGAGCAGGAAAAAGAGATGCATGTCACGGATGCGATGCATGGGACACATGGCGCACATGGCGTTGGCTGCACTGCATCTGACGGGCGGGAGTACAAGTCGGTCGCACACAGATGCATCATGCTCAACGTCCGCATGGCTGGCTGGCTGCCTGACACGTGTGAAGGAGTGCAGGGTGGGAAGGAAGCCCAATGCATCAATGCAGCCAGGCAGGTGGCTGCATCTCATGTGCATGGGCGCCTCATGAGCGTCACACACACACACACAGGGAGAGAGGTAAGACACCCATCTGTCCACACACACACACACGCACGTGTGTGTGTGCTGTACTCTATGCAGGATGGACCACTCACGACACTTAAACACACACACACGCACACACACACACTCCCAGAGATGAGCATAAGTGCCCATCCAAATGACTGACATCACGTCGATCGTCAGAACCTTCATCCAATCGCCCCTGTGTGTGACCGGTGGACAAAAAGAACACACATACAGCGGGACAGGGTATGTATGCAATTCGGTCATCCACTCGAGAGTATCTCTGTCTGCGACTGTCTGCAACTCCATCGGCCAGCAGGAAAAATCTATCTGTCGGAGTGTGGAGTGCAGGGCAGAGCCGAGCAGAGCCCCGGTCTTACCCACTCACTGCAGCCACCTATGGCGAAAAACAGCCCTGTTCGTTCGTGTGTCGCACAGCATCTCTATGTGTGATGCACACCTTCCCCGCACCTCGGTGACGGCAACACCATTCTGTAGCTCATACAGAACGACGCCGTCGTCGCGGCGCTGCGAGTGAGGCATACACACGACATGAGCGGAGCGACGATCGGTCCCGGATGAATCGCAAGACATGTCAACACGCATGCACCCACGCCCCAACACACTCTCGACTACCTAAGAAAACTGATGTCATGGCATAGTAATGCATCACTTCCCCCCCTGTGACGTCACCCCCTGACATCTCGGTGACGGTGACGCCGCTCTGTAGCTCATACAGAACGACATCAGCGTCAACAGCGTGTCTGAGAGTGTCGTCACAGGCGGGCAAAGTGCGCGAGCGAATGAAGGCATGGACGAACGGCGAGTGAGTAGGTCGATGCAATGGGTGCAATAGCATCTCCTCCACCCCATCTCCCTCACATGTGTGTGTTCTGCCTGTCTGAGACAGCACCTTGGCGACGGCGGCGTCGCTCTGTGGCTCATACAGAACAACGCCAACGTCACAAGATCCTCCATCAGATAGACATGCACACGACAAGTAGTAGGTGGGTGGTGAGTGAGGACACAAATCAATCAACACGGCACCGTCCTTAGCGTTACCAGCCCCTCACAAACCCCCCGATAGAACAGATGAACACGCGAATGGAAACGCATCACGACTTGAATGCCCGCACAACACGCACGCACACACGCCATGCATTGCATCCCACCACCCACCCTCACACAGAGGCAGGCAGGCTGGCAGGCAGCACGGCTTCTCATATCCACAATGGCGTGCCGCGGCGAACGGCAGTGGCAGGGGCAGTAGCGGTGGGATGTTCACCCTGTCCAGCGGCATCGGCGTACTGGTGCAGCAGAGCTCGCAGATCGTCGAGCCAGTAGGCCGTGCTCTCGTCGCCCATCAGCCAGGTGACGTGGCCGAATCCCGTGTAGGTCTTGTCGTACACCACTGTGCCCGGGGGCAGTCTCTGCTTGATCTGATCCACGTCGGCAGCAGACGCAAACTCGTCATACTCACCCCTGCACACACACAGATACGCATAGCATGCCGTCATGCAGTGACACCACACAGACGTCTGTCTGTGTTAACATTGTGGCTCCCTCACGCACGGCACGCACCGGAAGAGGGCGACAGGGATGTCTGTTGGCCACTGCTCGAGCTGGAAGGCTGGTGCCGTCATAGTGCCGTAGTGTTGGATGTTGCCGAACCAGCCGTAGTCATAGAGACCGAACCTCTTCTGAAGGAACAGCTGCTCGTAGTGATTCATGTCCATCACACTCGTCGCTGCAGCGACACACACATCCATGACATGACACCACACCCACAAGGAAGGTGTGAAGGTGTGGATCCCCCCTCGCGCATCTGGTGGAATGGTTGCTTACTGTCAGGGAACCACTGCAGCGACCAGTCCATTGTGGTGGTGTTGATGTGCTGGTTGTTGCCATTGCCGCCCACTAGCTGGTCCACCGCCACGCAGAAAGGCGTCATGGACCCCCCACAGAAGGCCTTCAACACCTCACGCAGCAATGTCACCTCCTGTGCACACACACCACACACAAGAGGGCATGTTCGTTCGAGTGAACGAGGGTCTGTGTGCGCGTGTCTGCGAGGGCGGGAGGGTTGGTGCTTACGGCCTCGGCAGCTGGGAACTGTCTAATGCCCAATCTCTCGACCGCCCCAGCGATGCCAAGTCTGCTGAGAAGGGCAAAGGCCCGGCTGCTCATGTGGTTGATGTAGGCGATTGGTGCTAGCGCCACAAAGAGCTTGACAGCCTTGTTGGCCGGCACATCGCCGGCCGTCCACACGCCCTGCAGGCTGTGGTGCTCGCTGTCGTGGCGCCACTTGTCGAGGGGCATGGACTGGGAAGCGAAGAACTGACACACAATGCAGCACAACACATAACACATAGCACATAGCACACCACACCAGATGAATGCATTGGCATATGACCCTCTCTCTCTCTCTCTCTGTGTGTGTGTGTGTATGTGTGTGTGTGTGTGTGTGTGTGTGTGAAACTGCATTGACATACCTGTGTGGTGCCCTGTGAGTGGCCGACATAGATGAGGCCATCTGCGTGGGAGCGGGTGTGTGTGAGGACGTACTGAATGCTGGCAGGGATGTCGTACATGGCCATGTGTTGCCATGTATACGACCAAAAGTCCTCGCTGTCCACACTCATCGACGTGTGGTTGGCCGAGAAGAGGCTCCCACGGCTGTTGCCCATCCACACATCATACCTACCGCACACCACACACCACACCACACCCAATCAGGCAAATCAGGTAGGTATCAGGCAGGGTACGTGGCCAACTGCGTGCGGGCAGACACCTCACCTACCCGGCTTGATGCAGCGCAATGGCAGAGCTCATGAGTGGGGCGCCGGTGAGCCAGATCCAGCTGGAGGCCAGCAGCGGGTGCTGCAGAAACACCACCGGACGGCCGGGGTTGGAGATGCGAATCAGCCGCAAGATGCAGCCGTCCCTGGTCGTCACGAAGTGATCCGTCTCTGCAGGCACACAGACAGACAGAACCGTCACACACACATGCACTCCAACGGTTGGTTCAGATCTCTCTCTCCCTTCAATCCATCCACTTGCTCACCGCTGGGAAGTCCAAAAGACGCCAGAAAGAAGGCCATGCACTGAGCACACTCCTCCGTGTGTCCGTGCCGCTGGCGATAGGGTGCCAGAAGGCATCTTCTGCAGGATGGCTCGCGAGTGAAGGAGATAAGAGTAGAGGGCTGAGCAGAGTGAGCAGAGGCAGCAGGGAAGGAGAGGACGACTAGCAGGGCGCATATCAGTACTGAGGAGGCCATCGGATCTGCCGACTTGGGATGATGAGAGTCACTGGAAGTGTGAGTGCTGCGAGGCGTTGAGGTCAGGTGCGGGTGGCGCCTTCGCTCTGTTCGTTCGGTCCTTCGTTCGCGCACTCACTGACGCGTCGGCAGTCCTCAGTCAAGTCCTCAGCAAGTCATGCGCTCTCCGCGAAACCGATTGCGAGCTACACGGTAAATTCACTGAAGGGACTCAGTGAGTCAGCTGTGAGGAGCGTGCCCAAGACGGACGACAGGCTCCCCACTTTCGACCCACTTTCGAGACGCGCATACACATCATGTACGGCCATCCCGGCTACTCCCGGCCCGCTCAGGCTCCCCAGAACCTGACTGTCACCGTCTCCGGGAGCAGCGTCCAGTATCTCGGGGCACCCCAATACATCCAGTACAGCCTGCCCGAACACACCCAAGCTGCCTTTTACGCGCAGCAGCAGCAATACGGTCAGGCCCCTCAGTCATACTCATACCAGCAACAACAATACCAGCAGTACCAGCAGCAACCATACCAGGCTCTGAGTCAGCAACAATACCAGCCACAACAGCAGCAGCCGCAGTACTACCGCAGCTCTATGGCCCCTCAGCGTCAACCCACACCTCAGCCTCAGCCAGGCTATGCCTACCACACTCAATCAGGTGCTCATGGGGCCGCTCAGCAGCACCCAAGCGGCCAATCGTATCTCCTCCCCCCGTCAGCTGGGGGAGGCGGCGCATCCATGGACCAGAGTTTCAAGGTCACCTCCTCTGCAGCTATGGACCACAGTATCAGACGTGGCTCTATTCGGGACAGCATCAAAGTCGCCTCCATAGACTACACACTCAAGAGTCGACCCATGCCCGTCACGCAGTCGTTTCAGCAGCAGCAGCAGCAGCAGCAGCAACCTGTGGCCGCGGCGCAAGCACAAGCACAGCCCCCCCTGCCTGTTCAGGACCCGCTGAGTACCACCGGCAGGCCCAGTGCTCGTTGGGAGCGTCCACCGGCGCCTACAGCAGCAGCCGCAGCCATGGCACCGGCTTCAGCTGTTAAGGTGCCGACTCCACCCAAAGCTGAGCCGCCAAGACAGACGGCTGTGAGCAGAGTGCACCAGAGAGAGGACACTAAGGCTCAGCACCGACCGGCGCCAGCGCCCGCAGAGCCCCCGTCGGGAGTCATGGATGCTGCCGCACACCCGCCGAGCGTATCGACAGAGACGGAGACGGAGAGCAGAGGTTGGGTGTCTCCAAGTGTGCCGGAGACGGCTGCAGGGGTGGTTGTGCAGGGCGAGGGCTCGCTGGCCCTGCCGATTGCGCGTAAGGGTGAGCAGGGAGCTGAGGTCGCCGCGGAGATGCGTTGGTTCTGCGACAAGTGCTTCGTCATCATCCTGGGGGCGGACCACCAACACGACTGCCTCGCCACTCATGTGGTCAGCGACTGTGTCAGTACCCTCAATGAGTACTTCCCTATCCTTTACATGGTGTCTCTCTATGTGTGTGTCAGAGTGGCATCTCCCAGGATCTTCCTGAGTTGGATCATCACATCGAGCACCACGTGTCGGCGATGCAGATGCTGACTGACGACGACGGCAATGTGGGCAAGATCGCACAGTTCATCGCCATGAGCAGACTCATGAAGGTCGCCTATGCCGCACTCGCCGCCAACCAGGACATCAAAGCCAAGGTACGTTAAGGGCACATCCTGTTCCTCCTCCTCCCGGTCTGACTGCCTGTCTGTCTGTCTGTCTGCAGGACGCGGCGTACGTGGCTGATGTCCGTCAGCGGCTGGAGGATGTAAGGGATGAGGTCCTCTGCTTCGTGTACGAGCCAAACGTCCTCGACGCATGGAACAAGTAAGCCAAGTGAAGACAGACTGACGACACGCATAGCGATGCTCTCATCCATTCTCTGATCGTCTCTTGTCATCAGGCTGGGCCCTTATGTGCTGCAGAAGCTGAAGCTGATGCAGGGCAACGCCAAGAGGGCGGCAGAGGAAGGGCAGGTAGCGGCAAAGGAGACGACAGTGCCGCAGCTGCCTCCTATCACCTCTGAGGACCATTCCATCGAGTTTGCGCCGATTCTCGAATACGCCCTGCACGCCAAAGCCCCCGCGGTCAGGCACCTTGCTTCCATGCGAGTGTCTTTGTGTTGTCACTGTCCGTGTGTGGTCAGTCACTGAATGATGTAGATGTCTCCTGTGTGGTCCACCAGGCTGACAGTGCGGCAGTGGTGCGGTACACGTATTTTTTGGGGCTGGACATCTATGTGAAGCTGCACCAGTCCTTCTTCCTGAGGGGCCACACGGCGGGATACCGCACATTCGACCTGTGGAAGAAAGCTGAGGTAGGTGGGCAGGGCAGCATGTGAGACACACGCTAGTTGTGTGGACTGATGGATTGTGTGGGCTGGTCTGTCTGTTGCTGTGTGCAAGCAGAGAGAGAAGGTCGAGCCGGAGGGCTACCTGGCTTTCCTGCGCAGGGAACTCGCCACAAGCTAAGCCCCACCTCGTGATCAGACGAATGTAGTCGACGCATCCATCCATCGTATGTATGGCATGAGTGTGCATGTGTGTCTGGGCGGCGTGGCGGGGTGGGTGACTGAGGAGCGTCCTACGGAGGTGGCTCAGGCAGTCAGTCAGGGTGGGTGATGTGCACTTTGTTTGCCTGGAGGGGCATGGGACTCATACGTGCAACCAATGCATTCATGAAAATAACCTTCATTCGAGCAGGAATGCATCAGGGGGGCGGTCGAATTGTGTGTCAACTCACCCTCTCTCTGCTCGCACATATGTACACAAACTTAGGCAGGTCAGCGCGAAGCCAGCCAGCCACATATGAAGATAGGTAGAGGGTGAGCAGGAGGCTTTCAAGCAAGAGAGAAGACAAGGCAAGGCAAGGCAGCCAACCAGGCACACCACGCACACTGATCCATCCAGTGTGTCTTTCCCTCCCAATAATTGCGCAGCCACATGTGGGCATACACGCATACACACACGAGGGAAGAGGGTCCACCCCTTCCACAAAGAAGCCGCACAGCCACAGCAATGCTTCAAGCAAAAGTCCTCTCTGCGTCGCCGACAACAAAACTTGCGGGCACCAGAATCAGCCGCTCGGTCGCTGCTCGGTGTGTCATCTGGTGGTGAGGAGGATGGGCAGGAGAATGATGATAACGATCACGAGCAGTATCACCGTCAGGCAACACATATTCTGCACGCCCCCCCCACACACAAAGGCCATGTGACAGGTGTGAGCAAGGTACCTAGTATGTGTGTGTGTGTGTGCAGTGTGTGGTTTACCCTTCTGGCCCTCTCTTGGAATTTCCTGGCCTGCACCAGCTCCTGCTCCCCCTTCTCTGCACACAGATAGCCGCACAGGCACACGTCCAGGAGTGCGTCCAGGTGGGCATGCAATGCACGTGAATGGCCGTCTCTTACTTGCGTATTCTGCGGCCGAGTTGACGGAGTATTCGATCTGGTCGAGCAGCTCGCCCTGCGCCTCCACCAAAGTCGCCAGCTCGACAAACATCTGATGCAACTCGGCCACACCTGAATGAATGACAGACACGCACAAACAAAAGATGGATTGGCACACATGCATTCAATGCATGTCTGGAGGTCAGTCAGTGTGTTTGGGGTCAGTGTTACTTTGCTCTAGTTTCCGGATGTCTCTGTATTTGTCCTGCAGGTCCGACAGCGCACCCTTCAGACTCTCGTGACCCTGACGAGACAGGCAGGCACAGACACAACACACATGACGGGATGGAGGTATCTTGGTTATGGATGTCACCGACTCACTCCCTCACTCACCCCGCCTATTCTGGCCCTGATGACGGCCGCTGAGGACATGTCGCCCGCATCCACAATCGCACTCACGTCAGCATCAGACGCCTCCGGGTACACTAGTTAGTTACAGGATCAACCAACCACGCGACACACGCGTGGACCCACATGTGGGCGACCGACGTGGACAATGAATGCATTGGCTGCTGCGTACCTATGCGGACTTGCCGTGAGACCTTGGTCTTGACGTCCTGCTTGAACTCTGTCTGGACGGCCTGGTACTCGGTGAGGATCTCGCGAAACTTGCGCATGAGCGCCGAATGCATGTTCTCGCGGATGCGGGCCTCCGAACTGTCTCTGTTCTTTTGTGCGAAGGCGGTGTTCTCCTGCTTCATCTCCTCGAGGGCCTTCTTGATGACCGTGTTCTGCTTGTTGGTCTCCTCTAACAGACCCTCCAGCTGATTGCTGATCTCTGATCGACACACACACACACAGAGAGAGCGGTAGCAGTGTGTACGCTCGTGTGCGTCGAATGACTGGCTGGCGGCCGTGTGTGTGTGCCTTTCTCGTTCTCTGGTGAAGTGGCCTGTATAGCCGCCTGCTTGAGGCTGCGAATCTTGTCGACGTTGTGCCTGACGGTGCCAATGGAGGTCTTGAGCCGGCCTATCTTCTGGAAGTAGTCGGCCATGAACGAGGCATCCTGCTCCGCACCTCCCGCCCCGCCCGTCCCTCCCGCATCGGCCCTCTGCGCCTCCAGGTCACGACCCGCACTTGCAGGACCCAGAGGCGGTACCGCCACGTTCTTCTGACGTGCGAGGTCGCGAAGCTCGTTCAGCCGGTCAACCATTGCTCAGGGAAACGATGCAAGGCGGAACTGCAGACGGGAAGGTGGTTCTCGTGGTCGATTGGGAGCGGAGCTGCCGCAGGGTCGCGTCTACTCCTCAGGCCAGGAGGTGCGAACGAGATTGTCTCTACTTCTGTCCGCTGAAACTTCTCAATCAAGTAGTGACGCAGCCTCTCCACTCACTCTCGTCTGCTTTCGCCTCTCCTTTCCCTCCCTTCGCCGTTTCTGCGAGCTTAGCTTCAGCGAGCTGAGAGGGAAGGGAAGCCATTTCTGTTGGGAAGTTTAAAAGGCATGAGGAAGCCGAGAGGGCATGACAGCGTTTCTTGTGTCGATTTGAAGTGAAATGAAGCCTGAAACTGTGGTGCCTGCCTGTGGCTGAGAGCGCGGCGCCGGCATGACGTTGCGTGACGACGGCCAGGTGTCCCTCTTCAGGGACCAGTTCTTTAAGTATGCCCGCACCAGCACGGCGAAAAGAGCTCAGTCACTTTGAGAAAGTGAGTCTGATGACATTATGACGCTGTGGCGTGTGACTGTTCGTGTGTGCAGGATCAAGTTATGTCCGTATCAGGCCAAGGGCAAGTGCACTCGGGGAGAACTCTGCACATATGCCCACTCGGTAGGCCGGCATGCACTGCACATCACACACACGTATTGCATTGGTCTGGCGTACGTTACGTGTGATGTGATGCTTCCTTCTGTGGCTGTGGCTGTGGCTGTGCTGTGTGCTGTACATGTACTGTGGCGTGCAGGCGGAAGAGCTTCAGCCGCTCATCCCTCTCTACAAGACCAAAATGTGCCACCAGATGCAGGAGGTCAGCGGCAACACAAACAAGACTGATAAGGGAGGGAAAGACAGTCATTTTGTCATGCCCACCTGCTCACTCTTCTGTGTGTTTCTCATCATCAGACTGGTCATTGCAGGGACGGCCCCAACTGCAAGTTCGCCCACCAGTAAGCACACGCAGACAAAGCACGCCGACAGCAGCCGCCCCACGTATCGACGTCATGCTTGTCGGTCAATCTCTCTCCCTCTCTCCCTCTCTGTCATGGTGTCGTGTCAGTGCCGGCGAGCTGCGTTTCACGTCCGACTACTACAAGACATCTCTCTGTCGATTCTGGATGCGCGGTGAGGCGACAGCAAGGCAACACGTCTCGGATGTTGCTCATGCGTGTCTGACTGTTGGTTTAGGTCACTGCCCGGGCGGGCTGGAGTGTCGCCACGCACACGGCATCCACGAAATACGCAAACGAAAGTGAGCTGCCCACAACAGACAGACGCCTCAATGACCAGCCCACCATTATTCTCTTCCGCCACTCCCCGCAGCTACCGGCACACTGAGCTGGAGAAGAAGGCCAAGAGGGATGGCGTGCCGCTCGAGACGCTCATCGTGTCGGCCAGGCGCAAGAGGCGCGACGGGACGGAGGGCAGCGTCGAGGGAGTCAGCTCGGGAGGGGCCACACCCATTGGGTCGTCACAGGGGCGCCTCAGGGACGAGGAGACCCTCAGTGACGTACCCTTCACCAACAGCAGTGCGTCGTCCATCTTGCATCTCCCGGATGTGCTGGCGCAGTCGCCAAGGGCCCCCCTGCCGTTCCAGCATAATGCTGTCAACATTGCCACCGCCGGGTCGCGGGCAGTCCCTCCGAAGGGCCGGCACACATACCCCTCATCGGGCCAGGCAGCGCCCGGACACACACATATGACCCACGGCGCTGCGCCACCCATGGCCACCCATCAACAACAACAGCCGTTCGCGTCGCCCCTCCAGCCACAGCCGCAACAGCCCCCCTCGTCTGCGGGGGTGCTGGGCACGACGCCCAACGGCACCTCGGCATCGTCGGGCCGCCCTCCCCCGTTCCATGGCCATGGAGGACACGACTACCGCCCCAATGTCCAGACGGTGTCGCGAGCAGCCAACCCACTGCCCCTCCCTGGCGAGAACACCTTCGCTCGTCAGGGCACTGGGCAGTCTTTGTGGTCGGCATGGAGGCCTGGAGGCACTATCTGGCAAGACCAGGGGCAGGGCGAGAGGTGGGGCGGTGTCGCGTCGCCGTCACCGGCGATCGGGCCGTCCAGCAGTGGACTGGGAAGCGGCACCGGCGATGGCCTTCTGAGCGGCCCGCCTCGCAGCAGCCAGGCAGCATCGAGCAAGCCCCTCCCCCCTCACCCCCACCAGCAGCAGCAGCAGCAGCTGAGGTCGTCACAACAGCCCCCTCCCCCTCCACCCGCTGCGGGCGACCTGACCGCCACCACGCGGACCAACTCTGCCGACTCGAGCGCCCTGCTCCCTTTGCCGTCCCCTCGGTCCACTGGCGGCGTCGCGCGCAAGGCCGGCCAGCATCAGCAGCAGGCCGACATATGGAAGACGCCCAAACGTGGCCGTGCGGCGGGCGAGGACGACAGGCGTGAGGTGGACAGCGGGTGGAACCCACTGCTGGGGAGGAGGCATGATGTGGCCAAACTGCCCGTGTTTGGTGACGCTGCGGCGGGGCCGGGGATACTCGGCGCGTCACCCGCCGCCGACCAGCGGCTGAGCACGCCGTCGAGCAGCCTCTTCGGCCAGCATCCATCGCAGGCACCGCCGCCTAGCCAGCCCAGTCACAACGGCAACGAGGCCTACCGCAACACCGCCGAGGCCCCTCCGTCGTCGTCATCCGGACTCCTTGCCATCCCCAGCTTCCCTAACAGCAGCGGCAACACTGCCAACGGGTCATCGAGTGGGCATGCGAACAGGGGTCAGGGCGACTCTGGCAAGGCGATGGAGTCGACGGCCGAGGGGAGACAGCAGAACGGGTCTTTCCCTGACTACCCCGGTGCGACGCTCATGTGGGGCGCTGGCGGCACCACCAACACCAGCACCGAGAGGAGGGACGGGGCTGGCACCGGCAGCACTCACAGTCTATTCAGCTTCGGGCCCTTCTACGAGCCCTGGAAGGGGGGCGTCTCGCCGTCGCCCTCAGCGGCTCCCACCAGGCGGCACGATCGCCCGGCTGACCTTGTTGAGGAAGTCAAGAGCACGCCTGCGAGGAGCAATGAGCCGTCCGCTGCTGGTGTCGTGGCAAGCACTCCGCAGTATTCCCTCAGTGTGGATCTATACGAGCCGCCACAGCTTCAGCAGCATCAGACAGCGAGCCCGCACTGGAACCACCACCAGCAGCAGCAGCAGCAGCAACCGCATCAGGGGCAGCCTCACACGTCGAGTCCTCATTGGACGCAGCAGCAACAGCAGGATCTGCAGCAGCCGCCCCCGCCCCCTCCAGCAGCAGTGGCTTCGCCGAACCCCACCAGCGATCGCCTGGATGGGTACACACGTGACTCGCCTAACCTGCCGTCGTTCATGCGCCAGCCGGCCTCTCCACTAGAGGACAAAATGATGGTCGGGGGGATGCCTGTTGCCACGTCAAGGGAGCCTGAGAGGGGCCAGGGCGACAGTGACGGTAGCGGCCTCTTGCCCTCGCCGGGCTCACGGCATCAGTATCAGCAGCAGGGTGTGGGTGTGGGTGTGGGTGGCAGCTATGGGGGCATGTCGATAGTGCACCAGAACAAGCCGCAGGAGTCTTCGCCGCAGCCGGCAACGGGTGGTGCGTACGTGTCCTCTGCATACCCCTATCGGTACCCCCAGGCCCTCAACGGCATGATGCAGTCGGCTTCGCAAGACGAGCTCTCCAGCCCCCATCTGACTTCCGGCCCGCGACCACCAGCAGCACTAGAACGGCAGCAGAGCCCCCTGACATTCTACCCCTCTCCATATCGGGCGCCTTCAACCCACGATGCGCCACCGCCCCACCAGCAGCAGCAGCATCAGCAAATGCAGATGCACGGCCCCCCAGATCCCCGTGACGTCCCTCAGCACGTCTTCTCCTCCCCCTATGGGATGGCGCAGGACGCCCCCATGCAGCACAGCACAAGACCGAAGGCCCCCGCACTCTACCCATCAGCAGCAGCTGACGGCTGGCAACAGCAACACGCACAGCCACAAGGGCCGGAAAAGGCAATCGAGGCGGCAGACAACAAGATGCTCACGAGCGGCGAGTGGTCGACTGCGTCGTCGTTCTTCAACCCCAGTCCGCACCAGCTGCTGTCCATCGCGGAGACGGGGGAGGTGACGGGCAGCAACGCCCTCGCCAATCTCCAGCACTCCACACCGCTCGCCAACCGCTTCAACTTCTCCCCTGCCCCACCGATGCACCCAGGGAGAGACCGGGCCGACCACGAGTACGCACTTGCGGCGAGCCAGACGGACTTGAGTCATCTGAGCGGAGAGGCTGGGGGCGCCCTGCCGCAGGGGCTGATTGACATGCCCAGCCGTGGTGTGAGTGGGGGCCAGCAGCAACAGCAGCAGCACGGGCCCACCATCCCACCAGTAGCGTCACTGTTCAAGCCAGAAGGTACTTACTGATGGGATCGTGGGTGGCAGGGGGGTAAAGGGATGGATGTCATGGGTTGAATGTCTGTGTGTGTGTGTGCAGATCTGATGCACATCCAGGAGGAGCCCTACACCGACTGACTGATGACCGACCGACAGATGACTGTAATGGCGGCCGTGTGTGCCTGCCGAGTAGCAGCATGGATGGATGGATGGATAGACAGCTATTTTTGGTGGGCGACAGGGGTGGGTGACACTACTACTAACCTACTAACATGCCATTAGCCTAATCGGGGGGCGCATGAATGAATCGTCGAGGGATGCTTTTCTCCTCTCCTTGAGCAGGCAGGCCTAGACAGAGAAGCGAAGCTGCTTGGAAACAAACAGCTAGCACGGTATTTGTGGCGCGGCGGGAGGGGAGTGGGCAGGGCATACATATACCATGGCAGAGGATGAGCCGATGGGCTGCATTGCAATGGTGCACACACACTCGAACGCCTGACGCATACCGAACGCCTGATCGAAAGGCAGGATACAATGAATGCGATGCTGCATTGCACTGTATGTACGTGTGTGTCGTATCCGATTGGACTGCGTGAGCCAATTAGTGAGCGACCGAGGCCGACCGTCTCTCTATCTATTATCTCCATTTTCTCTCTGCCTGTCCAGTGCGCATTCACTTTTTCGATGTGGCTGACTAAGGAGGAGGGCGGGGGAGGGGAAGGCAGGGAAGGAGGGAGGAGGCTTTTGGCGCGGATGCCCGCGCGCAGTCACACACATGACATATGGGCGCGTGTCTGGCTGCGCTGCATTCGCTTTGCTCGCCTTGCCAAATGCAGTCAGTCAGTCATGCAGTGAGTGGTTGGACGGACGGCAAGGACGGTGGGGTGGCTAGTTACTTACACACACGATACCATCGCATTAGTCCATCCATCTCTCTCTCTAACTCCATACATACACATACGTACCAACCTATGGAGTGCTCCAAGTGCTGACTGACTGACAAGACAAAGCCCAGGACTCCTTCCCCTGCTTAGTCTGACGAGACAGACGGGAGAGATCCATCCATCCATCTGTCTTGAGACAATAGATAGATGCCTGTTTCGTTTCGTTTTGGGCCTGCCTGCCTGCCTGCCTGCCCGTGTGTGTATGATGATGCCTCCCTCTGCGGCATGATCGGGTCGATTTTAGATATCGTGTTTTGCCTTCTTGGTCGCTCATGGATGCATGGAAGGGTCCGCGTGTGTGGAGTATTTGTTGCCAATCAACCGACCGACCGACCGACCAGCCGGCGAGGCAGAGCGCACGGCGGGCTGCATTGCAAGGGGTCTGGGTCTGTCTGTCTGTCTTTCTGTCTGTGTTTGGATCGATGGGCTGCGTGCGGGCATGGGCGGATGCATGGATGCATACGTGCAGTGCCGAGCAGTGCGCTGCGCGCGTCGAAGTGGAACCTCTGACTAGATGTGTGTGTGCGTGTGTGTGTGTGTGTGTGTCTACTGTCTGTCTTGTCTGGGTGTCCATCTAGCTGTCTATGTGTGTCTGTACTCGTCTGTGTGTGTCTGTGTGCCAGACGCGGACAATTGTGAGGCAATTGGTTCCTTCATAGCTATGGTCGGTCGGCTGCCGTAGACTTTCTCCGTGTGTCTACCTACCTCTCTGTGTGTGTATGTTAACCGAGGTCGTCATTTAAAATACATGCACGATTGACATTCTAGGCAGCTAGGCAGCACAGCAAGGAAGCGTCCAAATGCCATCCACACGCAGCAACACACACGTGTACACCACCTACACACTGACGCCCTCAATCTTGTGGAAGAGCAGCACCCTGCACACACACTCGGACAGGACAGCACCCATCCGTGAGGCGTGCATTTCTCTCCCTCCCACATCTGTGCTGCTTACGGTTTGAACGACTCTGCGAACGCCTCAACGCTTTTCGCCACATTGCCGACCTCACGGACATCATCACATCGACCTGACTCACACCAACGACGATCGGTCAACGGTTCACACAACTGTCAACCACAAGCACCCCCTCCCGCCCGTACCTATGCAGTCGACAAGCATGGTTCCCTCTAACAACGGCTTCGTCAGGGTAGCATCCTGCGACAGTGACTCAACACACACAGAGAGAGGGGAGCTCTGGAAGGAGCCAGACGGCTGTTGTAGCCCTCCCTCCCTGCCCATGGCCTGTTTGTTTACCTGGTATAAGTATGTGCACGTGACCATGATTGGGTAAGTGCCTCGGCCGCCATCCACCCTATGGCGGAAGTGCACTCGACACCGACGCCAATACCGATGAGTCCGCCTGCACCCATACACCACACCCATACACACATGGATGCAGGCCAGCCAGGAAGCAAACAGCACAGGGTTGCTTCATGCACGTGTGTGTGTGTGTTGGTATGGCAAGCTGACTTGAAGCCCTGGTCTTTGAGGAAGGAGAGCACTTCCGGCGACACCTGTGACTCCATCACTGTCGTCACGCTGGCGGGGATGGACTCGGTGCCTGCAGAGGTCGCTATCGCACGGCTGCCGTGATACCGCAACACACTGTCAGAGGAGAGAAGCAGCGGCCAGCAGGTGATGTGCTGTGTGAATGTATGCTATCTGTCTGACCCGTGCGCATGATGCGCTGGATCGGTGTCGGCGGCTGCGGCGGCTGCGGCGGCGGCGGCTGCGGCGGCGGATGGGTCTCTATACTTCCTGTAGGTGAGCTCAACATCCTGTGCGCGGGCACCAGCAGTGAAATACTTGTCTGCAGAACACAATCGCACAAGCAACCAACCAACCAACCAACCAACCACATTGCTTTGCATTGCATTGCATTGCACGCCACGCATATTCATGCATCAGCGTCTGTCGGAACCTCCCTCCCAGATCTCACTCACCTGAAGTCTGCTTTAGTATGAGGTGTTGTTCTTCACACACATAAGAGCTGGATGTGTCGCAGAGGCTCATGAGCAGCAGGTCCAGCGCCTCCTGCTTGCTGATGCGCGGAGATGACCCCGGGATCTCGGCATCGCTGGGGCTCGATGGCTCCCGCAGCAGCCCTCTCAGCCGGCACTCGAGGTACCGCTGCTGACGCCCTTCTGATAGCTGCTGCATTGCATTGCTTCTGCTTCCTTGAGCTCGGGGGTTCAAGGGTAGGAAACCCGTAACCCTATCGCCGTAACCCCGCGACGATAGGATGGAGGCCAAACGAGATCCCACAGAGGAGGAGATAGACGCCTTCGTGCAAGAAATCGTCGCCCAGAGCCGCGCACTCACCGATGCTGCAGCAGAAAGAGGAGATGACGGCAGCAGCTGGAGGCCAAAACGACAACCTCAACGCGACTGCGATGCCGCCGAGCAGCAGCTGGCCGGCGGCCATCCCCCTGTCGACGAGGATGATGAGTTCGGGGAGCTCGAGGCTCAGCTGTCGTGTGCCGAGCTGCTGCGGACGCTGCTCGACTGTCTGGTCCGCATTCGCCTGACGGATGACCGTGAGCTGATTGGCGAGCTGATGGCCTACGACAACAGCGGCAACATCGTCCTCTCCAACACCGAGGAGACCGTCATGCTCGATGTCGGTACGTGCAGCACAGCACACGAAAGCGGCCGACACGACACACGCAAAGGGAGGGAGGGAGGGACGCACACGCGCATGAGAGATGTCTGCCCTGCCTGTGGGTCGGTCTGTTGTGTGCCGTGCCTGTGTGCACTGCAGGTGAGGATCCCTCCTCCACTTGCAGCGGTGATCAGTCTGGCTCCGCCCCGTCGGATCGGTATCGTCCGATGGTGCGTCGGTTGGGCGGGATCATCAGCGTTCCTCAGCGTGCCATAGCCAAGGTGGAGGTGCGCAGCCCCGACCTGGCAGCGCCGCTCAACCACCTGCGTGACATGCAGGAGTCGCATGCCGTGGCCAAGGCGCTGATTAACGGCATGAACGAACAGGAGCAGCAGGCGGGAGCCGGGGAGCCGAGTTGCTGCCCACAACAGGCGCAGGAAGAGCAAGAGCCAGAGAAGGAGGAGAGAGAGGAGGGTGGCGATGAGCAGAGGGGCGAGGAGGGCGACGAGGGAGGACAGCGAGGCGACACAGATGTTGTGGCGGGGGAAGCAAATGAGGAAGAGGAAGCGGTGTCGTGACAGCGTATATTCATGGCACGGCATGGATTCCTGGCTGCCTGCATTGCATTGCATGGCCTTTTTCTTCTCTCCACTTCCCTCGAGAGTAGAGTCTCTTGGTTTTACCTCAGTAAGAGTGTGTCCTCCCCCTCCCCATTGTGGCATCGCATCTATGAAGCTGTCCTGGAACGGCAGAGCATCAGCCCATGAAAAGTGTTGGTGCTTTGGTTTCCGGGCGGCGACAGAGATGCGCACAGGGGGGTGGGTGGAGTGAATGGACATACCAGTGTGATGATTCCTTACCGACACACAGACATTGATGAAAGGTCGGCGGAGAGACTTTGTTTCGGTGTGTCGGTGTGCTGGCTGTGGCGTCCACTGGCTGACTGAGTGTCTGTCTGTCTGTCTGTCTGCCTGCCTGTACGCAGGTGTGTGCCTGCCTATTTGGAATGGACAAGGACAGCCATCTTGCAATGACACCGCCACAGCCACTGCAAAGTTCACCTAGCTTCGCCCGTGTGGTCGGATGGAAGGGGATGCACAAATAGGCTCGATCATCGTCGTAAACATACACCGCTCTGCAGAAGGATACACCCGGCCATCCATGACCATTACACACACACACACACACACACGCACAGAGTAGTACCGGCACCAACACTAGCACCCATCCCCATGCAAATGCGTGAATGGATCCCGTCAAATGGCTCCCTCCTTCGCTCGTTCAGATGGTGTCTCTGTGCCCTGCTGCAGCTGGCTGTCTGTGTGTGTCTTTGAAGAGACTCTTCACCTCCTCGGCCAAGGCCGCCTCATCTCCGAGAGCGCCACTGGCGGCGTTCTCCCTTATGGCGACCTCCTTGAACAGCCGCCTCAGATAATTGTAGTCTGCACACATGGATGGAGAGATAGATATATACTGCCCCTCCTCCATCATGATGCTCTGTGCATCACTCTGCTGTTTGTCTGTGCCTGGTCTTTCGTCGAATTGCATCCGTCGGCAGTAGGACAAGTAGGTGGCAAACTCGCCTGCACCACACAACACACATACACATAAAAGTCTCTCCTCCCCATTTGTTGGTGTCACTCCCACTTGGCAGTCCTCTGCACAAGACGTCTACTGGTGTTCCCATTTTCTGAGTGAGACACAACGACAGACAGATAGACAGACAGACAGACAGGCATGCACGCCGCCCTACAGATCGAACACCTTCTCGCCGATCTTTTCGTATTTGTCCTTCTTCGTTTTGGCCCTCATGCCCTGCCATGGGAGTGTCCCCTTGAGCAGGTAGACGCACACATAGCCGACGGCCTCGACGTCGTCACGGCGGGACTGCACGATGCCCAGGTGGGTGTTGATAGAGCAATAGCGGGCTGTGCCCGTCAGATTCTTCCTGAAATTCAATGCACACACGCCACGCGCCAACACGACAGCAGCATATGGTGCATATGGTGGTGGGGTTTGTGTCATTGTGCGTGTGGGGGTGGGATGAGGACACACTACGTCCCTCACTCACCTACCCTTCCCTGTATGGGACGTGCTGCCCAGTGGCACTCTCACGATAGCGCTTGGCCAGCCCTGGTGACGCGGCAACACGAGACACACATGCTCCCTCCCTCCCTCCCTCCCTCCCTCCCTCCCACTCTGCCCTTGTCAGTATTCGCTAATTCCTCAAATGTGACTTACCGAAGTCGATGATGGTGATGTTGCCTGTCCGTTCCCCCGTGCCCAGAAGGAAATTGTCGGGCTTGATGTCTCTGTGGATGAAGCTGTGCGCGTGGACGTACTCCACCGCACTGATCTGATCGATTGATTCATCGGTACGACCGACCGACGTGAAAGACGGAAGGACACACAAACCACACGACGCCAACCATGGATGTGCAGATCAGATCTATGAGCCCTGCCAGTCTGTCTGCCAGACAGCCACTCAGCCCACCCACCATTTGATCAGCAGCGATGAGGGCGGCCTTGAGTGAGAATTTCCTCTGGCATGCATTCATTATGTCCTCCAGGCTGGGCCCGAGCAGGTCGATGATCATCACGTTGTACTCACCCTCCGTGCCGTAGTAGTGCACACGAGGCACGTGCTTGGCGTACGCCAGGGGGACGCCTGATAGATTGGGTACCCAAGAATCCCAGAAAAGCACATAGATGGCCGCTGCATGCCTCTCTCTCTCTCTCTCTCTCTCTCTGTGTGTGTGTGTGTGTGTGTGTGTGCTGACCGCAGGGCTTGTGTGCTGGACTTCCGTCTCTCTCCCCCGCCATGACCTTGTAGAGCTTCGACTCATACCTGCATGACCACACTCCATGACAGACACCAGCGTGCATCCAAACATACATACAATAGCTGGGGGTGTTTGGTCTTGACGGGCTCCAGCTTAATGGCCACCTGCTCCCCTGCATGATGCCACACACAGAATACATCAGTAGTTGAGGGAAAAGGCATGGCATTGCGCACCTGTGAGGAGGTTGACGCCTTGATAAATCTCCCCGAAGCTGCCGGCGCCGACTCGCCGGCCCACTCTCCACTTGTCGCCAACACGGATCTCCATCGTGGGGCTCGTGGCAACTCAGCAGATGCCAGACGGGCAGCGGTGGAAGGCCAGCCTGGTGGCCCGGGGGCAGTGCTGGTGCCTGGACAGCGCCTCGGAGCCCTCCTTCACACCGATGACACGCGGGCCAACTCTAGGCACTTGCCCTCAACGGCCGGCAACGGCGGTTTCAGGTTTTGAGGGGAACTTGAAGAGTTGTTGATGCCGCAATGAATGCCAATGGTGAGTGCATCACCATCGACGATTCGAGTGACGACGACCGGCCCAACGACAGAGGAGCAGGGAAGCGCAGCGCTCCCGCTGCTGCAGCTGCGGCTGCGGCTGGTGGTGGTGGAGGTGGGCAGGCCAAGAGGGCGCGCAAGGCCAGTCCGGACCCGAGAGATGCAGATCCAGAAGCCCAAGAGCCGTGGTCTGCATTCCTCGGACAGCTCCCAGTGGTCCGCACAACACGCCGCCAGCCATGCAACACACGTCGTATATGTAGCTGATTGCTTCTGTCTGCGTGTGTTTGTGTGGATGCTCGACCATGCAGGACGGTTTCGCCACCGGCAGCTTCCCCGTCACCCTTCGCGAGGGGACGCTGATCAACCTCGCCATCAACCTCCGTGAGTCGGCACCCAAGAAGAAGCAGACCACCAAGGCGCCGGCAGCCAAGGCCAAGGCCAAAGGGAAGGCCAAGTCGGTGCCGGCGAGCAGCGCTGCAGCGGCTGCTGCTGCTGCTGCTGCTGCTGGTGGGGGCAATGGGAGGGAGGAAAACAATAATGACAACAAGGAGAAGGAGGACGGGGGCGTAGCGGACAGGGAGAAGGAGTTCGTCGAGGCGTGCAAGAAGGCTATCGTCAGAATCGAGGCTGAGGGTGAGCGAAAGCAGGAGGCAGGGAGGCAGGAGATGTCACCTCATGGCATCCATGGGTGGCTTTCGATCGATGGTTCTTTTTTCTGTGCCTTGCTTATCATTATCAGGTCGTGCTCTCGGCCGCGTGCCGAATGACGTAGCCACGAGGGTCGCACCCCTGCTATCGAAGAACCTGTTGAAGGTGGGTGAGAGGGTGCACACAATCGGTCGGCCGCACCGGTGGGTCGGCAGGTTGTCAATCCCACCGCGCACTGCCCTTTCTTCTTTCGTGTTGTTGTCTGCCAGGTGGAGGCTCGTGTGGCATCGTACACCTCAGGTCTGCAGCTGGGCAGCAACATCCCCATCAAGATCAACTTCTTCATAGAGAGCGCCGCCTTCTTCCAGTCTGCTGAACTCGGGTTCGGTGCGCACAACACACATGCGGTGTGTGCGTGTGCTGCCTGTCCTGTGGCATGGCATGTGTATATCCATCCCATGTGCTGTGCGCGTCCATTGATGCTGCCTGCAGCGATGGTGTTGATACCCCGCGCAGCGGCGGTGGTGGTGGTGGTGGTGGAGGTGATGCGTTGGATAGCGTGTTGTCGATCTACATGAGGGACTGCTGGGTAAGTGGATGCAGTGCAGTCAGTGCGTCCAGCAATCACTCAGTGTTGGCCGGGCCGCATGTCATGTATGTATGTGATGTGCCTGTCTGTGTGTCTGCCCTGCCAGGTTTGGTTGTTCCAGCAGGTCGGCCTCAATTGCCTCAGGTGGGTATGTAGACCAACACGCCACACACAACCTGACTGACGTCACCCAACAGATGCCATGCATACGTGATGTGCCTGCCTGCCCGTGTTCAGAGCATCTGTGTGTTTCGCGGCCACCGAGGGCCTGGGCATGGAGGAGTCGGGCCCCGCCTCACCCAAGGACACCGAACCCAACACCACCACTAACAACACCACCACCGCCAAAAACAACAACAACAACAACAACAACAAGGACAAGGACAAGAGCAAGAAGGACAACGGCGGCGGACCACAGGCCATGGAGATCGACATGATAGACGTGGACAAGGAGGGCCAAGGGGCGGAGGGGGGTGAGAATGCGGGCGAGGATGGTGGCGAGAGCGGTGAGGATGACGGCGCGAAGGAGCCCAACGATGAGGATGAGGACAGTCTGGAGGAGACGGAGGAGGCGCGGCAGAAGAACGACGCCATCTTCTGTGAGCATGAGGGGGCGGGGGCGGACGGCAAGGGCACACACTCGCCGCTGCCACGCATGGAGCCCCCCACACCGCTGTTTAGGAGCACTCTCAGGTAGCAACGAAGCGGTGCCAGGCAGACAACACACGGCACCCATGATCTGATCCATGTGTGCGTGTGTTGCGGTGTGTCAGGCCATACCAGCAGGAGGGTCTGTGGTGGATGGCGAGGCGGGAGGGGTTCAAGGACGACACTGACAACGACAGCCAGACAGAAGCCGACATGGACGCGCTATACGAAGAGTGAGCCGGCACACACACCCCCACCCACCCACCCACACCGCTGAGCATCCGTGTCCTGTTGTGTTGTGTGTAGGTATGAGTTTCCCAGGCCAAGCGGCCGTTCTTCCACCCTCAAGTCCTTCTACTTCAACCGTGCGAGCGGCGAGCTGCAGCTGAGATTCCCGAACGCCAGCCAGGAGTGCATCGGCGGCATCCTGTCGGACGAAATGGGTCTGGGCAAAACTGTACAGGTGCGTCATGCGCACAGTCTGTGTCAAAGAACCGGCCGATCGATCGACAGGGTATGGATCACTTCTATGCGTGTGTGTGTGTGTGTGTGTGTGTGAGTGCAGTTGTTGGCGTTGGTAGCGTGTGGTTTGGATCGTGCGGCCAATGCCGAGGTCGATGAGGACATGGACGGTGGCGGCGATGGTGGCCGCGAGAAGGGCGTGGGGGGCACCCTCATCGTCGTGCCCACGTCCATACTCACACAGTGGTATGGTATATGAGCCACAAGGGAAGGCGGATCGCATCCATCTAGCCATCCATCCATCCATCCATCCATTCATCCATCCAGGCATCCTTGTATGTGTGTGCATGTGAATCTAATCTGTATATCAGGCGTAGCGAGGTAGAGAAGCATCTGTGCGTGAGCACCGCATCGCAGTACCTACCGTCCAAAAGAGCTCAGGTGCGCCACTGGGCCAGTGGCTGTCTGAGTATCGCCCCCTGGTTCTCCTGCGCCCATTCAGGTAGTTTACGAGTACTACGGCAACGATCGCACTCGCTCTACGGCCATCAGCAAACACCTCATCGTCCTGTAAGACAACCACCCCCTCCCCCCCCCCCCCC